TGCAGATTCTTCAATGGTGCGCACCCACCACAGGGGATCGAACCCATGACCGTTTGATTACAAGGCAAACTCATAGACCATTTAACCACTGAGACCCGATCCACTGGCAAGTCCATGAATTCCAACCTCTGCCATTTCACGATATAACGTGACAGGCACTAGCCAATATCATTGCTGGGGAGTATTTGTCCTTACATCCAACCGGGAGTTCTAGTGAGAAGGCGTCACCAATGGAGTGCACGAATTAGGATGTGAGGACAAATACTAGGCGCGGATGACATTCATGAATTTGCATAAGTCGGAATGCATGGGTTGACCACTGGATTGGGTCCCAGAAGTTTATTGCTCTACGAGCTTGCCTTGTAACCGGGAGGCCTTGGCTTCGAACCCCGGTGGTTGCGTACCGATAAAGATTCCTAAACTAAGAAGAAGCACCTGTCCAATACTCCCATCTGGCTTTCCAATGGTTCCCTAACTGATGTCAGGCTACAACGAAATCCTGAAGGCAGATGGTTGTCAGCTTACTGTCTGTTTGTCTGTTTTCGACATAGAACTTTGCACATATGTGCGGCAGTTCAAGTCGCCACACTCCATGTAGCACACAAAGCAAGAAAGTAAAGTAGGAGAAATACATATTAGAGGCAGTAAACAGAGGTGTGAGACAGAGGAATAGTAATAACGAAGAACAATATAGTTTCACTGGAAATCACAGTTCACAAGTAGTGGATGCATCTGCGCCACTGAGAACGATTTTGAGCCATGCCACCAATTGTTTCCAGTCTGCATTGGTTTTTACTGTCCCAAGTACGCCAACCAGGAAGTCTACACCTTCCTACGTGGCTTAGACTAACTGTTGTAGATTCCATTCACTGGTGCCATGTTTTCGTTTGACCGCCTCTGGCTCTTTAACAGCCTGACCTTATGTCAGCTAACATTGCCCGTCGAGGAAGGCGATGACTAGGCATACGTAACATATGTCCTAACCATCTCAGTCGATGTAATTTCACAGTCTCGTCAATTGATTTCCCCTCACACCTACCTAGCACTCGACGCCAAACCTCAATATTGCTCACCTTATTATACCACTTCACACGGGAGATAGAACGCAGACACCTATGATCAAAGACAGCCAGCCTTTTCATGTCTTCCACTCTCAATGGCCAGGTCTCACTCACAGCCATAAAGGAGGATGGAGCGGATTGATGAGCAGTACACATGCCCTTTTGGTCGATAGCCAATCGGATATCACGTCTACGCCAGAGACGGCTTACGCAGCTTACTAGCTGCTTTTGCTTCCCACCGAAGGCTTGAAGTATAGTGCACTTTCACTGTAGTTATTGTCATATCACTCTGCGCACCAAATCAAACTTAGAAATATTCAGCCTCGGAATTTTGAGGAATCATAAATCTTATTACATACTAAAGTATGCTTTTCTGTGCATACGAGTAAACTTCATCAGACATACCTTTGTTCTGCCTGGTAGGAAAAGCTGAATTACTTAAGATTGAATCGACTCAATCTTTTCTAGAATGTGAAAACTCACTCAGATTCATGACAAAGCCAAATGACCATACTCTTCGACCCAAAACACCCCCTCTATTCCCAACTCTCGCCTTGTATCTCATCAAGTAGAACCAGAAATCAGTATAAAATAATCTATGCTCGTACAACCAAGTACAGAAACTCAACGATACCATTCTTGGCCCGTGTTCTAAGCAACAGAGACAATGTTAAGCGTGAAACCTATGACTTGCTTTGTTGTCAATAACATAATTTTAGGCTCTTTTATTTCTCTCTTATTTGTATTCTATAGTGAACTCCTTCTTAAACATACTTAGCTACCTAAATTATTAACATTGGCTTACTTTTGTACTTTACTCTATTCCTTCTTTTGTGTATCTACTGGTTCCGATTATATTAGCAGTATGAGTAGTACAAAATTGTCCTGTCATTAACCATCATGTAATTATTAGTTTTTGTGGTTATTGTTGTTTTTTTGTTCGGCAATATTAATTGACAGTCTTGGTTGTGAAAGCCATTATCACCATCTTAAAACTTTGTATTATGCAGGATTACTCACGCTACCACTACAAACACCACATTAGACCTGACAATAAAAAACAAAACAACAACCCTGAAATGTTATTTTCTGATTGTTTAGTGATGTTTCAACCAAATTAACTGATCATCTTGGCGATAAACATTCTTAAATATCAGTTCATAACTTCTTGTGTGACTATAGCTTTACTGTCACCATGAATAATCATATCATAGCTTCCACTACCCAATACTGAGTTATTATTATATGATGTTTATTTTCCTTTCTACTTCTTCGTATTTTTTCGCATTTTTCAAAAATTATTTTGTGTTTTCATGTCTTTCTTTGCCGTTGGTGTCTTTTATTTTGTTTTTGAAATATTTTTTGAAATGTTCGATAAAATTAGATGCAAATATTGCAGATATGTGCTGAAAATTCCACAATGTACGACTAGTACTGTTTCTGGAATAAAGCAAATTATTATTAATAATATTCAGGAATACACAATAAGATAATTTACTATTCAAGTTAAGGAAGTCATTGATGCATATTGATGAAGAAGGGTCCCAAAGCAGGACAAAACAGCTGTCCAGTACTCCCTGCTAGTTCTCGATAATTCAGTAATCAGTAAGTATTGTTAAGTGGTAGGAGACAATCTTCAGGAAGCTCTGCTTCACCTAGATTTCGTGTTTGGTGGCACTCATCAGCAAAGTGTATCTGCAATCTTCTAAAAAGTCATGTGTTCCCTTCTGACACTCTTACTCGAGTTAACCAGCGCTGCCTGCAGAAACAACATTGCCACCAAGAGATTTAGGCTCGCAATTATCATTCTGCAGGACTGTAACGGATACTTTGACTGAACACTAGGTAATGAATAGTGTCATGTGTCTAATCTTGTGCACCTGATGCAGACTGAATCCTGTCAGTCGAGGTTTCAATGTGACCACCATTCTAGATGTCTCCATCACGGCACTAGGCGTTGGTTAGTTCAATCAAAGTATCCAACACGGTCCTTCAGCCCAAATATCTTAGTGGTAAAGTTTCTGAATGTACCACTGAGTAACTCGACTTAGAATATCAGAAGGGACATAAGTTCCTTGAAGATTGCAGATACGCTTTGCTGACGAGTGCCAAAAACCTTAGCCCTGCCGATTGCCTCCAACCATCTAACAACGATTTGCAAAGCATCATGATGGCAAAACACCTAACACAGTGACCACATCGCAAACTTCAGCGGTTGGTACAGTCTCTACCAAACGAAGGAGTAAACGTATGTCATTGATTACCTCCCAGTGTTCAATCGAAATATGTGAAAGAAATCATGTTGTAGACAAGCGTATTACTCAGGTCACTTTCCTTTTCATATACAAAGAAAAAAACAATTTAAACAAACAGGGTTCAATATCTACTTGATTCTCATAAAATTTCCAAGTAATTCATAACGGGAAACTCACCGAATCCTTTGAAGTGAAGACAGGAGTAAGACAAGCTGGCTCCAATGATTTTCCTGATTGTGGTAGACTGGATAATGCAACAGACAGTGGCGGGCAACGAGGAGACAGGCATAAAATGGACCCACACAAGAAACTTGGAGGATCTGGAATTTGCCGATGTGATATATGTCTGTTTTCCTGCAAACCAGAAGATATGCAAGTGAAAAGCATCAAGTTGGTAGAAGAAGCACCAAAGATATGAAGGTCTTCAGGTGAACATGGAGAAAACAGATGTGATGATGTTGATTCCTGGCCAACATCAACATCAACAGCAACAACAACAGACAACAATCAGCATAAATGGGAGAAATCTGAAAGAAGCAACCTCCTTTACCTACCGACCTGGGAAGCATCGTTTCAACTACAGGCAGACGGAACTGATGAGGATATCAAGGCGAGGATCGGGAAAGCAAGTCAAGCTTTCATTACTCACATCAAGTCTGTGAAGAGATCAACTGCACTGCTCAGCATGATAAATAAGATCCGGATTTTCAACTCCAATGTGAAGTCAGTGTTACTATACGGATCGGAGACGCGTCATGAAGGGCGCTTCGAACAAAATACAACACTTCATCAACAGCTGTCTTCGTTCACTACCACTCAAGATGAGATGGCCAGAAAAAAAATTAGTAACAGGGATCTCTGGCAATGGACGAACCAACAAGGAACCGATTGTGCAACAAATAAGCAGGAAGAAATGGCGGTGGATTAGCCATACTCTGAGAAAACAAACCATCAATTGAGTAACATCACACGTCAGGCTCTCTGTCTAGCGGAACCCGAAAGGGAAGCGGCTAGTTGGTTGTCAGTGCAAGGGTGACATGGAGGAGGTCATGCGAAGAGGAAATGAAAACATGTGGGCAGACTTGGAGCCAGGTGTAAACGTTGGCTGAAGCTTTATGTTCCTCTACGAACTAAAGGAAACAATGATAATAATAATCTCATTAGATTTATTTATGTATTTATTCACTTTATATGTACCTAATTTCAAGTAAATACAAATAATTAATTATTATTATTACAATTACTTCATTATAATTTTATGATTATTATCATTACTATTAATTTTTTAATTGCCACTGTCTGACAAACAAACAAAGAAACAAATGAACACACATGCGAAACAAATAAGGCGAAATAAATAGTCATCATATACATACATATATGTATATACAATAGTTTGTCATTGAATATTGAACATTTTGTTTTACTATGCATATTTCGCGCGTTTTTCTTTACCCGCGGCATTTAAATAATCGAAAAATAGATTAGTCCATATTATAAATAACTTTTATCCAAAAAATAAAAATTACACAACAGCAATAGAGAACTAGGCAAATAATGATGAAAGACATTGGAAAAGCGAAATAAAATGTAGGTGTGTGTGGACAGATGGTGAGATAAGAATATCAAGAAAGATAATAAATAAAGTCTGCACTTGAAGGCATACATTCACATGTATTATTCACTATGTGGAACCGTATTGTTCTTTCCATTCAACATATTTATCAGCAAGTTGTCTGGCGGATGGCATTGTTGAAGCTATGGCAGCTTTAACATCATCTGTTGTAATCGGATCAAGATGTATGTGCGTCTGAGGAAGATCTGTAAGGGAATGTTTGAGATGAACACGGAAAGAAACAAAATTAATGATAATGATGATAATGGATTAATAGTTGAATTTAGAGGTAAGGTATACAGTACTTGGAAAACACACCCATCATAATTAAACTGATTATGGATGGATAACAATGTTACTTTTAATCACTGTGTTTCTGTACTTAAACAGTAAGTACTGTTCTTACTTAATCTAATTGGCCATATATCTGCGGTTGCATAGATCATAGATTTTACTACTATTCTACATATTATGCTGGGCTGAATATTCAATGCAGAACTACCTAGCACAAAAGTACAATAGCACATCACTATTTCATCTTGTCCTCTGCAATCCACTTGTAATTGGCTCAATGATTACGTATAAGCTGTCGTTTCCTCCATGTGACCCTCGGATGCTTAATTAGTCGTCTCCTATCCACATTCCAGTACAAGGTCAGGCGCGTGATTTCACTTAACTTTCTCCTCAATATGTGTCCAATCCATCTCCATTTCCTTCAGCATATAAGTCCAATCGTAACCAGTAGGGTGCAGAAGGTCGGGTGTGAGGCCAGATACTCGCCGAAGACATTGGCTAGCGGTCTTGCTATATCATGAATTGGCAGAAGATAGGATTCATGGGTTGGCCATTGGATCGAGTTCCAGTGGCTTAATGGTCTACGAGCTCGCTAGCCTTGTAACCGTAAGGTCCTGGGTTCGAACTCCTATTAAAAATGATTTTCATGATGCATGCGTTCAGTCCCCGAACCTGCGACAAGAACCAACTTGACAATAGTGCTGAATATCTGGATCTTGTTCCTAATGTTGTATGCAATAGATTTCCACACCAATTTCAGAGTAATACAGGTTCGTACAGATTTTACGATCTTTATTAGCCTTCATAACCCCATCGATTCTGTTGCTTGTTGCTGAAACTATGCTGCCAAGACAGCTGAATGTGGTAACTTCCTTTACAATTCTGACGTTGATGTTTATCGGTGTTTCATGTTGTTGTTGTTAATGTTGTTGATTGGCTGTCTTCATCACCTGTTTCCTCTCTATATTCTCTTGAATTATTCTCGTTGCTGCTTCTTCTGCCAGCTGTTGGTTTTCGCCTGTAAGTCTTCAAATTTCTTCAACATTAGACATAAATTGTCTTCTAGAGTCTCCTTATAGGTTCAGCGTATTCCTGTCTTCTCACTCTCCACAGTCAGGCGCATTATCTAGTCCACCACAATCACTAATATTATCAGTGATGGTAGACAGCCTTGTCTTACTCCCGTCTTCTCTCCAAAATGTTCGCTGAGTTTTCCGTTATAAAAAACACTTGGCAAGGTTTACTGCACACAGAAGTGTTGAAGCAGTTTCTGAAATTTATTCACAGTCAATGCCGTTGCAAGTCTTTTTGAAAGTCGATAAAGTATAGGTGAAGTTTTAGGCAACATTCCATGCTCTGTCTGCTGATAAGGTGATTACGTATCGCGTTGCAGTTTGATCAGTACGTGATTTCCCTTTGCTGAATCCAGCTTATTCTTGGCGCGGTTTTGCACATAGGATAACGAGACTTAATATATTTTGCACTACATGGACAATACCATGATTCCACTCCAGTTCTTGAAAAGGCTTAAGTTTCCATTTTTCACTATTTTGATAGTATAGCCTTTCTTCCAATCTCTAGGTGCCCTACCTCCGTTCCAAATGTTTTGCAGTAGTGACATGAGGATATCAACTGATGTTTCTAAACCCTTTTTAAGGTTCTGTGGCGATGCTTGGCTGTATAGGGAATGCTGAGAACATACATTGCACTGATCAAGGCACTCTACTCGAACTGATGCAGCCAGGTGAGGACTTACGGTGAGTTGTCATCTGAAGTGGTGACGACTAGTGGTGTCCGTCAGGGATGCCCACTATCCCCGTTTCTATTCAATTTCATCGTATATGTACTAATGGATTTAACCCTAACTCATTTCAGACACTCAGTGATTGACTTGCTACCAGGGAATAATCTCGTCGACTTAGAATATGTAGATGATACAGTCCTTCTAGACGAGGACGCTGACAAAATGCAGAGTCTTCTGAACACTCTGAGCTGCAATCTACCAATGTTTGGTATGCGAATCGCTCTCGCCAAATATAAGTTGATGTTTCAGGACTGGACTACACTGACTCCTAGTTTAGAAATAGGGAGTGAAGTGGTAGAGCACGTTGACCACTTCACTTATTTGGGAAGTACCATCAGCCTCAACGGGTTGATCTTTGACGAAATTTTAGAACGGATACAGAGGGCTAGTTTTGCATATGCCAGTTTATGCCGTCCCTGGCGTAGACGTGATATCCGACTATCGACCAAAGGGCGTGTGTACTGGTCAACAGTCCGCTCCGTCCTCCTTTATGGCTAGCTGTGAGACCTGTCCACTGAGAGTTGAAGACATGAAAAGATTAGCTCTCTTTATCATAGGTGCCTGCGTTCTATCTCCCATGTGAAGTGGTATAATAAGGTGAGCATTATTGAGGTTAGGCGTCGGTCGAGTGCTAGGTAAAGAGGGGAAATCAATTGACGAGGCTGTGAAGCTACATTGACTTAGATGGTTAGGGCATGTGTTACGTATGCCTAGTCATCGCCTTCCTCGACCGACGGGCAATGTTAGATGACATAAGGTCGGGTTGGAAAAGACCTAGTGCTCAAACGAAAACATGTCTTCATCAGTTAATGAAATCCACAACAGTTAGTTTAAGCCAGCCATTCAGGCAGGTGCAGACTTCCTGACGGGACGGTAAAAACCAATGGCTGGGGACAATCGGTGACATGGCTCAAAATCGTTCTCAATGGCTGACGCAGATGCATCCACTACTTGTGACTTATGATTTCCAATGAAACTGTTTTGTTCTTCATTATTACTATTCCTTTGTCTCACACCTCTGTTTACTGTCTCTATTATGCATTTCTTCTACTTTCTTCTCTTGCTTTGTGTGCTACAAAGCGGGAGTGTGGCTACTTGAACTGCCGCACATATGTGCAAAGTTCTATGTCGAAAACAGACAGACAGACAGACAGAACCCTTTTTAAGTGTTTCTGGGGAATTCTATCTGTTTCTGTGTAACATTCAATGAATCTATTACATCACAAAAAGTAAGTATACCTGCATTATTGAGAACGACAATCTTAAAGCATCTGTTCTCGGACTTTCATGTTCTTTAGTCAGACAGTCCACATCTCCCTACGTGTCCTAACCCAGAAGTCAAAGACTACAAGGACTGATGTCAGATTTTGATGTGACCACCACTCGCCCTGTTCCAGCCTGATCCAATGCCGGCTAATATTGTTCGACGACAAAAGTGATAGCTTGGCATATGTAACACGTGTCCCAGCCAGCTCAATTGGTATGACCTCACAAGCTCATCGACTAGCTTCTCCTGTTTACCTAACCTTCTACTCTTAACCTCCTAATACGAAACATTTACCAAAAGAGGTATACCGGGAAAAATGTAGATGGATTGAAAACACGCTGAGGAGACCGATGATTGGCATCACATGGCAGGCAGATCCTAGAATTGTGTCTAAATAGGAAACAACGAGTTAGATGTAGTTCCGAGGGTGATATTGGGGGAGATCATTTCAGCTTATGGGGGATTGTTGGGCATGTTGTTGAAGTCCTACATTCCCCTTTTAACCCAAGAGATTATTAGTAATAATAATAATAATGGCTTTATTCCAAACAGTATTTGTGGTACAGGTATGGAATTTTCAGCGTTCATTACAATATTAAATATGGCATCTAATTACCTCATAAATTTTATAAGATTTTAAAAACAAAAAGCAACAACAACAAAAAGAAAAAAAGAGAAATAAAAGGAATAAAAAGAACAGCATTGCATTCACATATTTAAACAATGCACCACAGGATATGATATATAAAATTAGTCTGTAATAGAATATGTGAGCAACAATATAGTAGTAACAAAGAAAGGAGAACAAAAGCTAATGGGAACTATTTGTTAGAGTGCCGCAGTAAGTTGATCGTGTCATGCCTAACAGTTTTCTCATCACATAAAAGCTGTGCCAGATAAGGTATTGTGGAGTTTTTGTACTTGGTAGTCCTGGCATATAGCCTCCTATAGCTGCTTCTAGTTCTACCAGATGAAATGCAAGGAGAGAGCTGCGTATAGAGAGGGTGTTCCAGGTCTGACAGTATAGAATTCGCTAGTTTCTTACATGACATTATATGTCTATCCACAATAGTGTTAACCAGTTGGTTTAACGAAATCCCACTTCCCCTACTAACAGCTTTTAGTGCCCTTCTCAGCAAAGCAAAGTATTTCTTTAGTAGTCCAGGAGAGATTAATGGGGAGCAGTGAAGAGGGATGGATAGAATACAAGAATTTACAAACTGAGAAAGCAAAGACTGCTTTATACCAGACTGCCTAAACTTCCTAACGTAGAACGTTAAGCGAAAAATCTTTCTAGTAACTAGCAAGATGAGAGAGGACCAGGAAAGATCGGAGGAAATACTCAGTCCAAGGTACTTAACGTTAGATGTAGTTTCAACCTCTATGCCGTCAATGATAGTGGGACCATGTGAGCTAGCTAGTTGTTGTAGGTCACTTTTTCGTCTGAAAGTAAAATTTACTACCTAACATTTAGACGGATTCAGCTTAAGACCGTTTGAAGAGGACCACTGACTAATTTCCGAGAGAAAGTTATTTAATTTGGAACAGTCTGACTGAGAGTTGAAAGGCATGGAGACAGAGAGGTCATCAGCATACTTGACAAAAGTGGCTACATCAGAATGGGGCAAGTCATGTAAGGAAAAAGAAAACAGAAAAGGAGAAAGAACAGCACCTTGAGGAACACCAGCTAAAGTAAGTGAGGTAGTGGAGGACTTTCCATTGTAGACAGTGTACTGCTTCCTATCAGAAAAGTAGGAATACAACCACTTATTTATCCAGCTCTCACTCTGTATTGCAGCAAGCTTACTTAAAAAGAGAGACCTAGGTACAGAGTCAAATGCAGATGTGTAATCAAGGAAGGCACACCGAACATATTTGGCTCCTCTATCTAAACTAGAGACTATATTATGATATAGAACTACAGCGGCATCTAAGGTACACCTACTATGTTTATAGGCAAACTGGTTGGGGTCATTAAAAGGCTTTAAAGAGGGTTCAAGATTAAGTAAAATAAGTCTTTCCATAACTTTTAAAAAAGGTGAGGTAATGGCAATGGGTCTAAACTTGACAGTAGGTCCACTTGTTGATTTAGGTACTGGAACAACCTTGATATTTTTCCATGAGTCAGGAATAATACTTTTGGAAAAAGACTCATTGAAAATGTCGGTTAATGGGTAACATAAGATGTCAGCACACTTCTTAAGGATAACAGCAGGAACTCCATCAGGACCAAGGGACTGGGTAGGTTTGAGAGATTGAAGACACTTGAGGACATCATTCGTGTTAAGACATGAGAAGCAGTCATTATTTATACTATTAGATTTGGGAATCATAACATCTGCAGGGATACATATGAAGGATTTATTAAGCATATCAACATCAACGGAAGTATCATTCATTATTTGCTTATCACCTGTGATTTCCTTTAATAGCTTCCACATATTAGATGAGGATTTACATGAGAGAAACTTCTGGTTATAGAGAGCATTTAGTCTTTGTAATTCGGCTTTAATTAAAGTGTTCATTCTCTTAACGCCAGATTTATTTATCATTTTCTACAACCTCTCTTTTTCACGGCGAAGCTTTTTGAGTTGAGAAGAGGCGAAACGGTCGAATTTTAAGAAGATTGTCTCTTTAGGACAACAAACATCAAGACAGAAATTGAGATAATGTGTTATGTTACTAATTGTGTTGTCAAGAGCTTGTTCAGTAAATAGGTCCCAGTTTGTGTCTTTTAACATTGTCCTTAGATTCTGTATGTTTTCATGTGAATAACATCTATGTTGTGTTTTCTTTCCAAGGTGGGAGAAGACCCTTTTGTGCTGCTTTCCATATACCTTGGGCAATACTCTTATGATGCAGTGATCAGAGTTGAGTAGTGGAGCTCTTTTCCGAGCTTCAGATATTCCAATGTCATTTGTGAACACAAGATCTAGAATATTATCCATTCGAGTCGGGAAGTTGACAATGTTATCATGACCAAGTGAAATAAGGAAACTGTGATCACTAGAATTGAAATCTCCAGTAACTATAGACAAGGAGTTTCCGAAGGAGGTGGCAGCAAAGGAGGTAAATTCATGAGCAAATAAAGACAATTCAGTGGAATTGCATCCAGGTGCAATATAAATGTTCGAGATGTATATGTAGTTATATTTTGACAAATGCTTAGGTCGACATTTGACAGTGAGGCAGTCAATGTTGTCACTAGAGAATTTGAAACATACTTTATTAGATGTACACCATTGTGAATTTATGAAGATGGCGACACCGCCACCACGTTTCTTCCTAGAACTACATCGATCTTGTCTGAATAGTTTGAAATCATGCAGATACACTAGATTGTCATCATATAGATCATGTAGCCATGTTTCTTGAAGTGATATGATCCCAGTTTTTCGATATATAATGGAAGACACGAGTGATTGAAGACAGTTAATCTTGGCTGGCAGGGAGCGACAGTTAGTACTCATGATTGCAGGAACGGTCATAAATTGAATAGGGGTGTTTTTTAAGGCTCTTTGCCACCCGGCATGATGCTTTTTTTTGTCTTTTTTATGGCATTTCCGATCAGTAGGTTTTAAGGATATTAAATACTCACGAGAATAAATAATCCGATTAGAGGACATATTAGAATAAAATTCAATTATTTAAAATAAATTGGAAATGAGCAATTAGATGCAATATGATTTGTAATGAATAAGGTATTTGGTAGCCCAAGATTTAAGCAGGCCGCCATTCATTGAGTAATGTGAGACATAGAATGAAAATACCTTTAGTCAAAGACAGCTAGCCTCGTTATACTTCCCACTTTTAAAAGCCATGTCTTACCGCTACAGAGAATGACAAAGTGAACTACTGTGAGGCACATTGTTCAACTAAAAACGTCAACCTAGAGGATGCTGTAATAGGATAATTAATATTAATAATAATAATAATCACAAAGGGTGTCCAATCATTTTTATCTAATGAAACAGACAAAAATTACTAATTAACTTTCTCTTACTTTCACTAGCACAATTCTCTAGTATATCGAATATTTTTCGTACAACACGCATCGCTGCTTCTTTACACACTAAGCGTATATCAGATCCAGAATAGCCTTCAGTTAACTGTAATTTTCAAGGAAAAAGTTCAATAAATCAATGAACATTTACTCTGTTTATGCAGCATACATTCGAAAGTTAAAGTGTTATCCACTAGGGTGTTCCACACAAAATGTTATAATCTATGCACGGAAAACTGGGATGATTACCGGATGCATAGAAGGAGGAAGCTAGTGGTTGTCTTAATGGGATACCCTGATGGTTGACAGTTACTGGAACAGCTTCATACGCCATTCGATATTTTTGGATTTCGATGCCTATATACACTATCAAGCATCGTTTCAACTACAGGCGGAACTGACGAGGATATCAAAGCAAGAATCGGAAAAGCAAGTCAAGCTTTCACTACTCGCAAGTCTGTTTGGAGGTCAACAACACTCAGCATCAAAAATAAGATCAGGATTTTCAACTCCAATGTGAAGTCAGTCAGTGCTACTATACGGATCAGAGACTTGCACTGCGCGTCATAAAGAGCATCTCAGACAAATTACAGGCCTTCATCAACAGCTGCCTTCACTCAATACCACTCAAGATCAGATGACCGGTCAGAAAAGATCAGCAACAGAGATCTCTGGCAATGATCAAACCAACCAGGAACCGATTGTGAAACAAATAGGCAGGAAGAAATGGAGATGGATTGGCTGGCCATAGTCTGAGGAAACCATCAAGTGACAACACTAGACAAGCCAATGCTCGAGTGGAACCCGAAAGGGAAGCGGCGAGTTGGTCGTCAGTGCAAGGGTGACTTGGAGGAGGTCATGTGAAGAGGAGATGAAAGCATGTGGGCAGACATGGAGCCAGGTGAAGACCCCAGCAGAGAACCGAACGCAATGGAGACGCACGGCTGGAGCCCTATGTTCCTCTAGGAATTAAAAGATACAATAATAATATAATAATACACTATAAATTTTGAACCAGGGCTTTCCAAGTCCCCTGGATGTCTACCAGTCCGGTTGTGAGCGACAGACATTCTATTTTGCCCTTTAAATTTTGTGAGTTACGTTCCCGCAGTATGAAGGCAGGAAAAAGGAATTACCTAGAGATGGCAATGAACGCTTGGCTATATGACAGCATTTAGAGAGTGAGACCGAAGTCTACCCGTCATCGGTTGTACTTGCATGTTTATGGGATGAAGTGAAACCCTCCGTCGTGGTAATGGCCTCCAAATTACTAATCCTGGTCTCTACCAACTGAGTTACGGGACCCAAACCAAGTGTCATAATTTCACTGCAATCACCTTAGCAGTTTGGTCTCGTAGCTAAGTTGTTGCAGTGCCCAAAGCTGCTGGTCTGAATTGTGCCGTGACCAAGATATTCATTTCACCTTCACAATCATCACCTCAATACAGACACAGGACTGTTTGAAGGTACTCGTCCAACCAATAAAATTATTTTCCTAGAGTAATCATAATGTTGATGGCCACTTATATACAAAACGTTTTAGAAATAATGGAGAAGATTTGTAGCTCAGGTGGATGATTTTGGTAGAGTTGCGTTCTATGAGCTGGTTGGTTTGCTTGCAGATAAATCAGACCCAGAAATCATGGTGTTGACGGAAATCTATACTATAATTGGCTTTGTAATCAAGCTACCCTGATCAATTGACATGATTCGGTCAAAAAATATATAATACGGTAGACAGTGTTTCAGGCGGTTAGAATAAAATAACTAAATTCTATTAAGCTACTTATAAGTAGTATAAGAGAAATAGTAAACAATATTGTGGCACTTTAAAGTCAGAGTATTCGACACATTGTATTAAATTTTCTGCAAGTCTGTATAGTAGATGAAAGCTAAATTTCCAGCGAATAATCTCCAAGTGCTTAGTCCGCTGTATACCTTTTTTCTAGTTGATGCTAAGTAGACAGAAAAGGGTTCAGGTTTGAAGCAGTTTGTTGGTAGATGGTGACTAGCAGCCTGATGGCGGTCTTGAGCTACCGAAAACCTCCACCAATATATTACATATAATTCCGCTTATTTGGTTTGTTTAAATTGACTAAAATACGGACTCTAGCAGTACTGTTTACTCTGGTGAGTATTTAAAATATTCACAGTCTACTGATTCAAATCAATTAAAAATACTCATTGAATCATGAAGAAAATAATAGACAAATTCAGTGAAGAAAATTTTCTTTATCATCTCCAGAGGCTGTACAGTCGTATTTATATTTACCAAAAATGTATAGTAGTCTATTATTGAATAATCGGGGGTGACATAATTGATATAATTACTCGGAAGATGCTTCAGAAGTAAAATATAAAAGTTGCAAATTACGTGGTACTCTACGGCACTAAGTTAGAAATTTGATACGGTTAAAATTGCTATTAAGTGAGAATAAAGGTATTTGAGTGTCAATTTAACAAGAGTGAAGAGGGTGTGTAAATGTACAAAAGAAACATATGAGAGCGATAATAGTGAATTAATTATTAAAGTAAAAGCGAACTAAAAGTAAAATTGAAAATTTAAAAACCAAATTTTTTTTACTACAACAACTAGTGAAGAGGTTAAGACCAAGGTAGAATAAGAGACTGGACAAACTTTTTCTGTAAATAGAGTTCAGGGTTGTATTGATGAATTGTCAGCGCCTCCGCCATACACAAAAGCCGAAACCTGACGCCCCATTGTACCATTTGGCCTCACCTTGTAGATGATCTTGAATTATATCAATTATGTCACGCCCCCTTTTACTCAATAATAGACCACTATACAGTTTTGGTAAATATAAACACGGCTGTACAGCCATCGTCTGAAGATGATTTTATCGATAAAGGAAATTTTCTTCTCTGAATTTTATCTTCTATTTTCTTCGAGCCTAGTGATTCGCAAGTTTCTACTAAACATGAGAAAAAGCATTATCCTCGATGAATGGCAGCTTATCCCAATGCATGAGATGACTGTTCCTGACTGGTGTCCTTGGTTTTAACAAAATGTACTTGTCAATGGACGTGAACATTGAACGTTTGTTTATTGGAACTGGCGACCATTGGTGGGCAATTCGAAGGCGCGAACGGAACGATCGCTTGCAAGTTGGAAGAAGGTGGAAAGAACACGAATAAAAGTACCTTATAACTTCATTTGTACTTAACATTTGTTTGCAGACTTTGTATTTTGTCTCGCTTTAATTGCCAAACAATATAATTTCGTTCAAGGAATACTGGTGTTTTGGATTTAAAGTTGAAAGCAATACGTAGTATTTATCGGTTCAAAACGAAAACGTCTTCACTAGAATAGGAACTTAGGGCTAAGTTCCTTGACAGTACTCCTGGACTCTTTATAATTGGCAATCCACAAAATTTCATTCATTTTTCGAAGGGGAAAATATCATGCAATAAACTCCACTGAAAATTCTGTAGATTATATAAACACTGTTCAGAATGACGCTTTTATTGTTAGTAGTAGAATTCAGGGTGCACATTTCGTCCCATCTGGGACTCGTCAATCAGATATACCTGCAAACCTCCTCAGTTAATGATGGTGTTTCTACCAAGACTCGAACTTAGTATCCATCGTTTCAAACGCCAGAGACTAGACAGCTTAGTTCAGGAGAGCAGCCTCTTATGCAACAGGTGACAGTTATTATTTGTTTATTAATTCAGTTTTGATTTTCCAATTGATTGATTGATTGATTGATTGATTCAACCCAGATTTTTCAGCATCTGTTGATATGTCGGCTTCTAGAACAGACTGCTAGTCACCATCTACCAAATTACTTCAAATTAACCTCCGAATATTGTCAAAGCGTCGGTAGTAAGAGTCGCCATGTCAACATAGGCCAAATATTTCGGTCAGATAAATCTACGTGAAAATCGAAATTGACTGAATGGTATACGAGCTTGACGTGACTTGTAACCGAAATGTCGTGGGTTCGAACCCAGGTGGTTGGTGCGTATTGCCGATGAGTTTCAGAGCAGGATAAAACAGCTGTCCAGTACTCCCAGCTGGTTTTCAGTGATTCTTTAACTGGTATCACTCAGAGATCAAACTCGAGAAACAACTCAAATTCTTACAAATCAACTCTTGAAAATCAAAGTTGAATATAAACAATTTAGGATTAAGTTTGATCGAAAATTGACTTCAGTTATAGAACCATCAAGTGGGGTTCATGGAGTTGGATATCAGGAGAAATACTTGTCAATGACACTGACTTATTTGTGGTTACGCCATATGTCGCAAATTGGGAAACAGTTATAATTCATGGGATAGTGGATTCCTCCCTATTGGTTAAATGGTCAGCCTGAAGGTTGAGTCATGGGTACGTACTGCCGAAAAGACCTAAATTGGGATGAAACATCTGTCAGTACTTCCAGGTAGTTTTCAAAAGTTCTCTAACTGATGCCATTTTGTGAGCAAAATTAAAATCAGTCGGATCCCGGCAGAGCCACATTTGAAAATAGAATTCATTTGTTTCAGGGCATCATTACTTTGAATGACGACTGAACTTATGTGAATTCATAGTGAGACTACTTGATACAACCTTAAGTCGGCAGACTATTATCGATGGATGTACCAGTGAGCGTATGTTAAAGTGGTGGAATCTTATCGTTTGTTCATCTGACTGACATACAGAGAGATAGTTAAGTGTTTATACAATTTGAATCCTAACTGACAGAATGCTAACGATCTACAGGTGTTGGTTCGCAGTGATTTGATTTGATTGGTTACAGGATTTCATCATGAGCTGACGCCGGTTAGAGAACCATTGGAAAACCAGCTGGGAGTACTGGACAGCCAGCTGTTCCGTCAGCCTAATTTAGGACTATTCAGAAGTACGCACTCACCGCCAGGGTCCGAAACCAGCACCTTCTGCCTACCAGGTGAGCTCGTAGACCATTAGGCCATTGGGACCCAATCCAATGGCCAGTACATGATTTCCAACTTCTGCCACCTCACGACACAGAGAGACAGCTAGCGAATGTCCTCGGCGAGTATTTGTCCTCATACCCGACCTGCTGTATCTCACGATCCAGTCTGTAGTTGCACATAATCATCTCTGAATTTACAAATAGTTAAACTTTTGGAGGATGATAATGATGATATTTCATGAAAGTATTCAACTTACCTCTGCAGCTAATTCATAATCTAGAAAACACTTCAACTGTAATCCATTTGATGATTCTTGTCCAATAACTGGTGGGAGAAATGTTTCAAACATACGCATTCTTGCTTCTTTATTCGGTAAATCGACTAGAATTCTTTTCTCTAATCTACGCAGCATTGCATGATCTAATTCCCTGAAAATTGAATGGAAAAAAATAAAAGAAAGGCGGGAAAAAGTATAAAAAGTGTTTTGACCTTTTAGTGTTCTCAAAGTCGTAGACATTTAATGTATATACACATGAATCAATAAATTATACCTGTTTGTCTTAATGATTACCTTCATATCAAGTGAGCAGAGAAGAGACAGATGTGAGAAAGATACCCAGCCGACAGCAACAACAACAACAGCAAGCACCGATTACTACCAAGGGGAGAAATCTAAGAGAAGTTATCTCTTCCACTAACCTGACCCTGGGCAGCATCGTTTCAACTACTAGTAGCATGGATGTATATATCAAGACCGGCCAGGATTGGGAAATTAGTACAGAGATATATATCAATAACAATATAGCATAACAATAACAAGTTAGTGAGTGTTTCTATGTTAGCTGATATAGGGTCAGGTAGGAAAAGAGATAGCTAGTGGTGGTCAAATCAAAACATGGCTTCATCGGTCAATGAAATCCACAACAGTTAGTTTGAGCTACTAAGAAAGATGTAGACTTCCTGACTGGTTGGGGTCCTCGGGACGGTAAAAACCAATAGTTGCTGGAGACAATTATCGGTGATATGGCTCAAAATCGTTCTCAATAGCTGGCGCAGATGCACCCACTCCATGTGACTTATAATACCCAATGAAACTAAATTGTTCTTCGTTATTACTATTCCTTTTGTCTCATATCCCTGTCTACTGACTGTATTATGCATTTCTTCTACTTTCTTCTCTTGCTTTGTGTGGCGACTCGAAGTGATGCACATCGGTGCAAAGTGGTATGTCGAAAACAGACAGATGGACAGACGGATCAGGGACTTGGTAAGTGCATTACTGAGCGCATTTCAAACAGGCTACTTCCAATTTTCATGACTGCCGATCTCCTTCACTCAACACTGAAGACAAGATAACCGGTCGGAAGGAATGAGAACCAAGGAACAGCGGCAGATAGTGAGCCGGTCAATAAACCATTTACGGACAAATTTGCAGAAGAAAATAGGGATGGATCAGTGATGCACTGAGGAGACATCTGGTCACCCCTTTCGCTTATTTAAGATGTCAAACCAGGTGAGATTGGAAAGCCAAGATAGGCCTTCATCACTCTGAAATCAGTGTGGAAATCTTCTGCATTCAGCCAGCCTAAAGAACGAAATACGGATTTTCAACAACAATGTTAAGTTAGTTCTTGTATTAGTCAGAAACTTGTCTCATCACATAAAGCATTTCCAGTAGGCTAATTCAGACTTTAATCAACAACTGCCTTCATGAAATTGAAAGGGCAAGTAACAAGGAACTTTGTGAACAAACCAACCAAGATCTGGTTGCCCAACAAATATTTTGGAGAAAACAGAGGTGGATCGAACATACGCTGAGGAGACCATTCAGTGAAATCGTTCGGCAGTCACCCAAGTGAAACCCGAATGAGAAACGACGAGGTGGGAGTGATACAGGGAAATGGAGGCATATGACCAGTAGTGGAGCCAGCTAAAAAGAAGATGGAAGATAACAGAATATAATGGAGATGTGGTGGAGGAAGCTCTATGTTCCACTCGAAACCTAAGAGACGAAAATTAATAATAATATAAATTTTAGCTGCAAGTGTACACGTGTGCAGTCATACTGACATCCACATGCAGAGAACGTTGTGTAATGTGTACAAGACAACGCAACGATGTTTCCATGGTGATATACTTACAGAGAATTTGAACTATAGGAATTCAAATGAACCAGTACACCAATGACCACTGAACCGAACGATGGCGTTAAGATGGAAACTTTGGATGAAAAAGGAGCACACTACATACTTGTACAATAGTGACCAGTCGCTGCATCAACTGCAGTTCAACAAGAGGTCAGTTATCAGCTCGGATGGCTCAGTGATAATATTGTAACGACAAAAGACGAGGACCAGTCAACAGATCGTTTATTGATGAAATCAACAGATATTTATATATTTTATGTACATCATTATTCGTTATTATTAGCAGAGAAACAGCGTCTTCTGATTGGTTGTTTTCTAGCTGAAAGTCATGCTGTCATCTCTTTGTGACCGTTTCTTTGAAGGTCATACCATATATCTGCTAATCCTATCCGCCCACGCAAAGTCTCCTGGGATTGGTTGTTGAGTTAGTCTTCGTTTTTGTGTTTTTTCTCATGACCAAGAGTTGGGACGTAAACATTGACGTAAATTGCTGTCTACTAATTTTGGCTAACCGACAGCTCTCACCACAATATCTGTGGCTGTATCAATGTGTGACACGAGTTCGACAATGCAGGTACGCGTTGCTGACGTCTCCTAACATGCACGAAGCCCAAGTCATTCAGGGAACCCTGCTAATTGTCTCCAACCATTTAATATCAGTTTAGACTGTGAAGATAACATTCTTAAACATCATCTAAGAATATCTATCAGCTTCTCCTAGTATTGTCACTGTTTATGAACAATACTATCCTTAGGCGTTAGGGTCAGGCTGAAGTTAAGATAAGGGCATTTTCTATATGAAATCTTTCCTGTAAATCATGAACATAAATAATTATCAATACTTAATCGGAGTTCTCTCCGGTGATTTTTATCCGAATCAACTGTTTTAATACTAATGGTCTGCTCAAGGTCACTTTTACGCCCATTCATTTGACATCTCGTAAATTTGACTTGCCCGCTTAACTATAATGCCTGAAAAGTGTTCACAGCTTGCTGCCAGGATGTTTTCTGGAGAATTTGTGCACATTTGTGCAGATTTTGCACACTTTCGAGATGAGTTCGTTATTTGGAGAGAAAATTCTCAATTTTTGTACAGTTACACAGTTCTAGGAGGTGGACTTTCACCAGAGTTCTGTTGAGGAATCGAAATTATTCAGATCACCACACTATGTGATCTGCTTGATAACATAAAAATGGCAATCAAGAAAACGAAAGTATACATGCATGATGTTATATATTACTGACTGTTATGTATATCCAAACCAAGTTCACTTATAACAGTTTGGAAAAATTTGTGCTCTGGGTATATGACATTCAATATTATAAAAGTGTTTGTATTTCACAATGAATGAATGAAAATCAAAAAGATATTATTGTTTTTACTGATGTTTCGCTATTTAACCCTGCTAGCAGCTTTATCAAAGTATTATTAAATAGTTGGAGGCAATCGGCAGGAAGCCGTTTCGTACTTGTTGGCACTCACCAGTCAGCAAGGCGTGTATCTGCAATCTTGAAGGAACTCATGTCCACTCTGAGATTTGAACCCGCGTCACCGGCCAGTGCTGCAGTCAGAGATGTGACCACTGAGCTAGCTATTTGGACTCGCGATTGACCTCCTGTTGGACTGTATTGGGTATTTTGATTGGACACTAGTAACTAGTGTGACGTGTCTAGTCCTTTCTTTGGTGCAACCTGAATCCTATCATTCAGGTTTGCAATGTGGCCAGCATTCTAGGTAGCTCACCAATTAAAGTACCCACTACAGTCCTACAGGAGGTCAGTCGCGAGCTCGAATAGCTAGCTCAGTGGTAACGTCTCTGATTGCAATCTGCACCGGGTGACGCGGGTCCAAATCTCAGAAGGGACATGAGTTCCTTTAAGGTTACAGATACGCCTTGCTACCTAGTGAGTGCCAACGAGCACGAAAACTAGATTCGGGGCTTCCTACCGATTGCCTCCAACCATCTAATATCATCAAATCAATGTGCACAATAGATGGTGAGTTACCTAGAATGGTGGCCACATTGCAAACCTGACAGATATAATTCAGTCTGCACCAAAGAAAGCACTAGACACGTCACACAAGTTACTATTGTCCAATCAAAGTATTATTAAACCAGAATTTACAAAATCCACTCAGCAAACTTAATCATCATTTATCAACATGGGGGCATTTTCGCGTTGTCAAGTTGCCCAATTGGTAAAGAAGACAAAACCAAGTGTAGATTGTGGGATTTGATAAGTGTGTTTATATAATGAAATTGATTTTCGTATTCGCGTTGATTTCATCATTTCGTGAGGGAACGCGGTGTTGCGAGCAGATCAAATTCTGTTTTATTCCATCATTCCTATTCAGACAGTTTGGTTTCCATTTTATGTGAAGGCCTTCTGATGATATTATCGTTCTTTGTGATTTCTGAAATTTTTCTGGATGATGATTTCAATACTGTCAAATCAATTTTGTGACCTGATTCTACAGTGTGTAGACCTATAGCTGGTGATTTTTCAAGTTTTTCTAGTTCAACCGGATTTCTCGGTGGTCATATAGATGCTCTATGGTGTTCATTTCTTTTGATTTTGATTTCTCGAGATGTCTGTCCTATGTATATCGCATCACCTTCCAAGCATTTTATTTTATAGACACAATTAGATAGAGAATCTTTAGGGATTTGGTCTTTCATATGGACAAGGTTGCTTTGAAATGTGTCTGATGTTTTGAAGAAAACTCTTATGTCGAGCTTATTGAGTACTCTTCTGATATCATCTGACTTCTCTGCTCTATATGGAATGACGACTGTTGATGTTCATGTTTTCGAAATGCGTTTTCGGCCATACTTAATGTCTGTGTTGATTTTGTTGGTGAAGTTCCATGGATAGTTGTTTTGCTTGAGAGTTTCAGTAATGTTTGATATTTCTTCTTCTTTTTCTTTCTCATCCGTTAACATCAAAGAGTGCGCTCGTCTAAGAAGACTTGAAACAACTGAAATGTTTGCGCTGATGGAGTGTGATGATTTGAAGTCTAAATATTTATTAGAGTGGGTTTTCTTCCTGAATATAGATTAACTAAAATGTCCGTTTTCTCTCCTCTTAACTAGGCAGTCTAGAAATGGTAGTTCACCGATGTCTGATTCTGCTTCCGAAGTAAACTGAATGCCTGGAGATAGATTGTTCAGTTTTTCCAAGAATGAATTGTGTAGATCTCGTTTTAGCACAACAAAAGTATCATCAACGTCTCTCAGCCACATTTTAGGCATGAGTATACTTATAAAGATGCTATCTTCAAATCTATTCATAAAAAAGATCAGCGACTATTGGGGAAACTGGTGAACCCCTAACAACACCATTCGTCTGTCTATATAAATTCCCTTTAAATGTAAAATAATTATTTTCTAGGCAGAATTTCAAGCTCTTCATTATTTCACTGGTGTTCAGTGGCCATCCTTAGTGATAGGGTTGTATCTGATTCTACTGAACTGGAAATGATATCAAGACTTTCGGGAATGGGCACACCAGTAGATAATGAGTTAACATCATAGCTTAACATTGTTCACTACAGGTAACTGGATATAACTCACATCAACCAGCTATGAAATTTCTCCCTCTTGTAAATCATGAATTTAGTTTGCAAGCTGAGAGTTTAATTCAATGTAACATCAGTTCGACCAATTAACTAGACATAATTCTGGTGGTTTGCATTGATTCGGCTGTTTGAGCTGTGTTCAGATCGCGTCGATCTGGCTAGCTAGCTAGGCCGCAGGCACTACGAGTTGATATAGGTGGTGTCCATCTGTGGTGAGATGTCTGCTAGCCAAAATTAGTAGACAGCAATTTATGTCAATGTTTACATCCCGTGTCTTGGTCATGAGGAAAAAAACACTAACAAAGACTAATTCAACAACCAGTCACAGGAGACTTTGCGTGGGCGGATACGATTCGCAGATATATGGTCTGACCTTCAAAGAAACGACCACAAGGAGGTGACAGAACAACTTTCAGCAAGAAAACAGCCAATCAAAACGCGCTGTTTCTCTGCTGATAATAACGAGTAATAATGTACATAAAAATCTATAAAAAATCTCTTGATTTCCTAGCCCTTGTCTTCTGCCGTTACACAAGTACTCATATCACTCAACCAGTAGTTTGTATATATTATCATGCAATTAGCAGACTTTCTATAATTTACATTTCACAAGTTAAAAGGCTGAAAAATGAAGATAGTCAGAATAAACACAAAAAATGTTAGTTCCAATTCTTACCATGGCAGGTTAGAAGCTGCTAACAAGAAGACCAGGTCATCAGATTTAGCTAAACCATCCATTTGCATTAATAATTCTGTTTTCATTCTACGTGAACCTTCATGTTCACTACCCATGGATATGCCTGAACCTCCACCGCCCCCAGACGTACTACATCCAGATATTGAACCTCTTTGTGACATTAAAGAGTCTAATTCATCTAAGAATATAGTCGATGGGGCATGAAATCTAGCCAACTCGAATAGAACCTGTTAAAGGTATAATGCAGTACAAAAACATTTAATGTTAGTTAGTAGTGGTAAATCTCAGAAAAAAGGATTTCCAGAGAAGATAAACTGAGTATTATTACAACGACTGGCCACGTTTTACACAAAGCCTGACCGATTACTGCTATTTTAACGTGGTGGTTGTGACTGCATACCATTATTATTATTATTCCCTTGGGTTCCGAGTGGAACATAGTCGGGCGTCAACGACACATCTCCACCTTCTCCTATTTACTGCCAACTGAGTCCATGATTGCCCATAATCTCTTATCTCCTCCTTCCCACCACACGATCTTCTCCATGTTATCCTCGCACTGACGACCCACTCTTTGCTTGATATAAGAATAAAACTTGGGCACTGTGGTAGAGTGTAATTCCATTATGGGTAAATTTTATTTTGATAGAGTCTCACAGTGTTATACAGTAATATTTACTGATGACCACGTTTCGAGCACAATTTATTGCTCATAATCATATCAAGGTAATCACACGACTTCCTAAATTCATTTATATAGTTCTATTGTTTTTCACTTGATTTTCATTTGATTTGATTGGTAGTATTATTTTCCATATTTCGGGTATGAGTGTCAAACTAGTAGGTCAGGGGTATTCAGAATGTCAGAACATAAGAATTTAGCTAAGGTAAGAATTGTTGACCCCGAGAAGATAAGTAATTTAGAAAAAAGCTCAGCAATTGCAATGCATACATTAACACACAACCACACAATAGGGTGGAAGAGGGTTAAAGTTCTAAAAAGTAATCTATGTAGATGGAGAGAGAGGTTGATTACTGAATCTTTGTTCATCGAATCTACACCCAACACATGCAATAGGAATGAATCATCACTCATACCTGAAATATGGAAAATAATACTGCCAATCAAATCAAGTGAAAATCAAGTGAAAAACAGCGGAATTATATAAATGAATTTAGGAAGTCGTGTGATTACCTTGGTATGATTATGAGCAATAAATTGTGCTCGAAACGTGGTCATCAGTAAATATTACTGTATAACACTGTGAGACTCTATCAAAATAAAATTTACCCATAATGGAATTACACTCTTTGCTTCTCATTGGGACTCCTCTCGAGCAATGGCCTGAATAGCGTGCGATGTCATTCGACGGTTTTCTCAATGTATGCCCGATGACCCCATATCGTAATGACCAAATGAGCCATACAGGCTGAAACAAATATTCTTGCACGTTATAGCAGGCTAAAAGGATAACTTGGAATAGTGGTCAGACAGTAAACAATTACCATCTTACCGCAAGTAGTTGTTGTGAGTCTGAGGACAAAAACATACTTCTCTCTGATAGGAGTATAACGTCGACAAGGTGTCTTCATGGGAAGATCAGCAACTCATCTATAGTGCATGTACAGTCTAAGGAAAGCTGTACTTCCCAACGTTTCCTAGAATTTTCCGTAGTGTTAAAGTATAGCGATCCAACAGTGTGAATCTAACAATGACCTAGAAACGACCAAACGACTTCAGAAGACCATTTCGGGTCGCTTACTCAAACCTAACCTTAATTTTTCCCTAAACTCACCGTAATCTAACCATAAACACCAAATTTTTAAACATATACCAAAACGTTTATGTCTCGAGGGAAAAAATGCTTTCAGTGGTTCCACTGCCAGACATCGCTGTGATGATGGGGGTCATGGGGTGAATGTCCGAAGATCCTTCAAAGTTATCACTATGCACGAGAGTTCAAGTTGCCTCAGGTTTGCTGAAGCAACCCCCATCAAACGCCTGAAACGCGATTTATGTGTTCAGATAGGAGCAGTTAGCAGTCTTCCCTCGCCCATCCTGGTAACTAGGTGTCTTTATTTTCTCTTTCTTTTGATTATGTAACGATTCCGTATGATTACTATTGTTTAGAATAAAGTGATTATTACTGCCATTGCATGCAAACATTGATGTTTCGTTTAAACTTGAACTCCCAGAATAAGCTGTAAGCAGACTTTTTTGACTATAGCTTGATTCTACACCGTATATTTTGGCACAGGTATGGAATTTTGAGCATGTGATATCGGTAGCCGAAATTTCGGAGGCCAACCATAGCTATCAGATGTGTGTTGGCAGGTGGTCGAACGCTGGAACATGTGCATGATCGGCAAGAGTCATAACCGCTGTGCCACCGACGCCAAAGAAATAAACGATGATGGTAGCATTTTATTCCTCACAGACCTCTGACGTTACAGCTTTATTTAGATTCACAAAAGGGAATAAACATATATACATTCTTATGGATTATCTTTCTTACGCCCACCTCAATAGTTTGTTTCCTTTTGTAAATGTACTGATACCGAAATATACTTTCCATGTCACGTCTTTGTATGTTCTCGCACAAGTAGTCTGGACATTGAGAAACAGATAGCTGTTGTTTACTTTGATGGAGTATCTTAACGACACTACATGGTCATCACATCTGCGCCCAACTCGGTGTCCGTATCCAAATCGACAGTTTCTTACGAAATACAAAACCAGACTCTACAGTCATATGACACTATTATTGTGGCGTGTACTACTGATAAGATTTATCAGTAGTATATATATAAAGAGATGTGCATCAGCATATAAGCGTCGAACAGCAGGGAGATAGATTTGATGTCAGAGGAAGTAAATGATACAGATTTGCGGAGATACATGGGAGATGACGTGATAGGAACACAAAGAAACACAATATGAAGAAAGGCCAGAAGTAGCACAACACAGAAGATCTGTGCAAATGGCGTTTAAAACTACTGCCGCTGAGTTCGGGCCCTGGCGGGAACATCATCCATCACCCACGTGTACATGAGGGTAAATCCAGCCGACGAGTCACAAATGGGTCAAAATGCACATCCTAGATTCCACTGCTAGTCACCATCCACTAACTGACTTTAGGTTACATGACTAGACATGGTTGATGCATCTGCACAAGAAGCCGACATGTCAACCTGAGACCGAGCACTTCAGTCCAATCATTTGACGGGAAAAGCAGGGATTGAATTGAATGGTAATTTAGTATCTCTATATAACAGGATCATGTAGACAGCCTGGTCCAATTCGTCAACGGGAAAGTCTAGATTAAATAATTAATTAAACCCGTTGCACAAAAGGGGACTCGTGACCTAAGTGGTTTAGTGCATAACGCTTTGGAGTTTGAAACTATGGGCAATGGGTTCGAGCCTCACTGGGAACGCCGTCGACCACCCACTAGGGTATGCAGGTACATCCAGATGCCAAGTCTCAAGTGGAACGAAATGAGCCTCCTAGATTCCACTGCTAGCCTCCATCCACCAGTTGATTCCTCTACCAAATCTCTCGTCTTCTACCGTTATACTATTTATTCCTTCTACCAGGTACTTCAAGAACAAATCAATTTCAAGGGTGTGGACAGCCAGGGAAGTGAAAAAATATAACTATGTAATAATTCTTGTCCGTAGCACACATGCAACAATAAAAATGACAGCTACAAGTGGGATTTTTTTATTCCTTTACGTTCCCAGTGGAACTTAGGGCTTCAATCTAAAGGCTTGAAGTTTCTGTAGCAGTCGTGATTATTTTTACGGGATGGGGTTGCTAGCCAGCCTCACGCCCAACCTTCCCTCTTTATCAGTCTTACTACTGGCTTAGTGAAGTAAAGGAGTGCGTCCAGTGGCCGGGTACCGAATCCCAGGCCACCTGCGTGGTCGGCGAGCACTCTACGGCTGTGTCACCGACGCTCACAAGTGGGATGACAAACCTTTGTTTTCATAAAGCATTCAAAATTGGAGAATTCTTAGTACTGACAGGACGCTATCCTGACCAATTAATTAGTAATTTTTGGTAGGTAGCACCAGTAACCTACAAAGTATTGATTAAAGACCTATTATGGCCAAGATTTTCCCTTACAACATCACCTTAGCTGAGCAAAAGTTACTTCACCCATCTAAAGTGACCAGCTACTGTCTCGACAAGAAATAATATCCCAATAGATTGGAACAACCAATATTATATTTAGAATTATAGAGATTGCAGTTATTTGTAAGACTCTTGATAGTAAACTGATGTAACTACAAAATTCTTTGGAAAATCCCTCTGGGATATTTCGACTAACTTCGTAATTATTATTCGTTTTTCTTCTAGACTGTGTATCACTGTCCTGACATTTGCATATCACAAGTTGAGTTAATCCTCATTATTTGTCTCTGTCCTTGTTTAATCTCTGGTTTTAGCGCTTCTCTTTATGGCTGTGTGCATATTGATAGTCTCTCGTACGATGTGATTTTGCTTGAGTGAAACGAAGTCGTTCTGACTTTGGACTGTCTGTGGGAAGCATTGGTATGTAATTCTTGTGGAAAGAGTTTTTGATTCCACCTTTCTAGGAATATTCTACTTGATTGTAAGGTACTTCTAGCAGTTGAATTCCCGTTAGTTGGTTTTGTTCTACAGCACTTGTTTTGTACAGAAAACTATCTAACCTGTATAGCTGCCTAAGGGCACCGTTGAAGTAATTCTGAGTCTTCGATATTATTATTATTGTTGGACAGAACCACAGATTTATCGAAGAATTACCGTCTTTCTGCTGTCTTTGAAGCGTCTCAAGGGAGTTTTAGATAACTTTACTGTAAGATCAATTCACTTCCCATCCTTGAATCAAGTCAACCTGTCCCGGATCAGCCTAACGTTGTTGCAACTCACTTATCCATACCTAACGTGTCTATCCCTCCTTGTTTAATGAACTGTGTGTTTTTTTTTACATCGATCCGTTTAGTCAGACCGTTGAACTCATGACCCAATCAGAGCATTTTGTGAACTGTTATTTTTGCTGACCCATGTCTTACTTTATACTATTCTGTCGAGTTTATCTTTTATTGATCTTCATCCGTATCAGCCTACCTGGTTAAGTAGCCAATTAATTACTATCTTTGTGCCTATGCTCTGTCTATCTCTTAACTGCTCTCTGTTCTATGCCCTGCATTACTTGGGTTCATTCTTCTACTGACTGATTACGTGAACGGTCGAGTCTGATTCCGGCTAGTTCACAATTTTGGCTTTAACGTTATTCCGCTCTGATAGCGGTACCTCGCTTTCTGTTAAGCGTTGTGCTTTGTACTCTTGAAACCGTAGAAACAGTGACCGGCTTCTTGTTTGTTCTGGACCGGGATAGCCTTTATCTACACGTGGCTTAATTTCAAGCGATATTGCGCTTACATTTACATTAGAATGCAAAGATCGGTTCCCACAGGGAGTCAGTTTTGGTCGCTACAACTGATAGAAAGGCTTTGTCTTCATAAGTTTGCCCTCTAACAACGTTCTCATTGTAGTAGCTTTCGGAATCGACCGCCAGAAGTCACAATTTCACTTAGGCTTTTTACCAATCTTCTCTCATCAATGAAGAATGTCCCTCAAGAGCCTTCATTCTGTCCTAAAATCAAAGAACTTGTGCCTGAGCTATCTAGCCACGAATGTTGACTGGATGGGGCATGAAAAGTGGTGGGTCGGTGGTAACTAGTCCATTTAGTACTGAATGAAATCTATAGAATGAACATAAAATATGAATAAAAGAGATCATTTTAGACAGGTGTTTTTCATGGCTTGAGGCTCCTCATCAGTGCGCACCCATGACCCGGGACCTTCAAGTTATGGGGTCAGCTTATTGACAATTCAACCTGTTGGTTGGAAAACAATGGCCCATGAATTACAGCTTCTGTTGAATGACCATCACACATATAACCAAATAACTTACACGAACTAACTTCTCTGAATCCCCTCTCCATTTACTGACAATAGTTGATGCAGAAATATTGAAAAATGTTGTTTTACACTCTGTGGCAACAGCTTTGGCTAAGAGAGTTTTTCCTGTACCTAAAAAAGCACAAAATAGAAATACTGTCTAACATGCTAAATGGAATTTAAGTGGTTTGTAAAATTAAGTAGTATAATGCACAGAATATTGATTTATTTTTCAGTTAATGAAATAGGGAACAAAAAACAACAGTTGTCAAATAAATCTCCCAATATACCTCGGGATCTGAAAGACATTCTTATTACAGGATTTCATCATGAGTTGACATCGGTTAGAGAACTATTGGAAAACCTGGTAGTACTGGACAGCTGTTTCACCCTGGTTTGGGACTCTTCACAGTACGCGCCCACCACAGGGGTTCAAATCCAGGACCTTCCAGTTACAAGGTGAGCTTGTAGACTATTGAGCTGCTGGAACCCAATCCAATTCACGACATGGCGCGATGATTAGGCAATGTCCTCGGCAAGTATTTGTCCTCTCATCCGACCTGCTGTACCTTACTGTTCACGACTTCCCACTAGAACCCCAGGTAACTACCTACCTACCTGAATAGGGCCAGCCGCCAGTGAGCATCTCATTGATTTTAAAATATGGGTGTCAGTCAAATCCCTAAAAACCAATACCTGAAAAACTTTTTTATTAGATGGTTGGAAGAAGTCGGCAGGAGGGCTAGTCGCATGGCAGTAGTCACTATCTAATGACGAATCAGATACATTCTAAAGGTACAAATAGAGGGTTACTTCGCATATACGTACTGTGGCATGAGTAAGCTATGGAACATATTTTCAGGCAATAACTACTATAACAACCTAGATAGGATTGATGTGGAAATGTATTTCAACCGTGAAACGTGACAGTTAAAGAGTCTGATGCTCTCTAAAGCTTTCGAATATTCGCTCACCATTATCAGTGTAGTACAGGCAGTGTTCGCTAGGATCATCGTCTACCCAAATCAGAGATGTGAATTACAATTTTGGTTAGGATAGGCAATTCAGTTGATGAAATGGCCATTGACTATTGACTGCGATGTTTATGGTCTTCAATATGCTATAAATTCTGCTAAGTCATGCCAAACCAAAGTGTACTAAGAGTTAATGAGGCCAATGATAGCTGTTCTAGTAGGTGTAGTGAAATTTCATTTCCAGACTTTATAAAAGCAATTCATCATAGCTTAACATGCAGTTTTTATCCATTGGATCGAGTCCCAGTGGCTTCATGGTCAACGAGCTTGCCTTGGCTTGCAACCAGAAGGTTCTGGGTTCAAACTTCGGCGGTGGGTGCGTACTGCTGAGGGGTCCCAAACTAGGCTGACGAAACAGTTGGCTGTCCACTACTCCCAGCTGCTTTCCCAATGGTTCTCTAACTGATGTCAGCTCATGTAACTAATCAATCAAATCCTTAAAAACCAATACTTTAAAATAATACTTAGAAATCATAAAGTAGTATAGGCGACACAACGTGCATTATGGTCATCGACTCTTACATTCTCCACCACCCCAAATGCTATGCACTACATGTCTAAGCTAATCATTCGTTGACAGTGGATTAGCGCTCAGCAGTTAGATTTGTCTGGCATTCGAGCGGTTTTAAGTTAAATTTCATTGTGAATTCGTTTCACTATCCTCTTTACGATCTTTTTCAACTGACTCCATAATTGCGCAAAGGCTTTTATTTCTTCCTTATAAAATTTCCTTCATGTCACTCAAGGACGCATGCTCAACCAGTCGTTTCCAATTCGGGTTGCATTCAAGGGCCTGCTATGCTTTTGTAGCTCCAATCCACCCCCATCTTCCTGTGTATATATGTCACGTGAAGGGTCTCTGGTTGGTCCATTGTCAGAGTTCTTTGTTGCTTACTGTTTTTGTCTGGCCACTTCATTTTCAGTATTGAGTGAAGGTGGCAAGTGTTGATGAAATTCGGCAGCCTGTTGGAAGTACTTTTCGTGACGCTTGCGTAGACTCTTTGAACCACGTAGAGGTACTGTGACTAACTTGAGATTAGTGTTGAAAATCTGGACGTGGTTTTTTTTGCTGATTGCAGTAGATTTCATAGTGTGAAATATTCCCATATCATGAATTAAAAGTCAATCTGAACGAAGAATATTCTTTGCAATAATTTCTCTTCAGGTTTTTAAAATTATAAAATATAATACTTATTGTCGTTACAGTAATGGTGTAACGACAGAAGGCAAGAGTCAGGCAACAGATCATTTATTAAGGAAATCAACGCATATTTATATATTTGCATGTACATTACTATGGATATTTAAGTAAACAAACACAGTCTTCCGATTGGTTGTTTCTCACCTATTTGTGAGTTTCTTGAATGTCAAATCCTCTATATGTTAACTGCATCCGCCTACGCAAAGTCTGCTGTGGTCGGTTTTGAATCAATCTTTGTTCACATTTTCTCACGACAAATCTTGGGTACGTAAATATTGACGTAAATTACTGTCTACCGATTTGGCTAGTAGACAGCTCTCACCACAATGGCCAGTTATGCGGCGGATATATTTTTTAACGTAGAATAGCAGATTAGTTTTCATGGGGTGTCAAAATAAATAGTAATTTCATTTCACACATATCCAGAGAAGTTCATTAAAGCCAACATAGGTTACAATAGTCGTAAACATAAACTGGTAACGGTGGAGAAAAAGCCGGCTTTGACATTCTCATCCATCGCGCCTGTATTTGACAGGATGCTTTCCAGATAAGTGAAAAATGACCTCCTTCAAATTTTTCCTGTTGATAGTGACTGGTGCTTGTTGTCGTTTGTGTCCGGTTATCTTCATGACTTTTGTCTTTTCTGTGTTCACTTGAAGTCCTGTCTTCACTGCCGGTCCATTCTTCCAACTTATTGGTTTTCTGCTGTGGATCTTCTACATTAAACATGAACCATCCACAAAGTCAATATCTTCTAGAATCTTCTTCTCTGTTCAACGTATGCCCGTCTTCTCGCTTCCCACGGTCTGTTGCATCATCCAGTCAACCAAAATCATGAGTGTCATCGGTGATAGTAGGCGGCATTATTTTACTTCCTGCCTTTACTTCAAAATTAGCGTTCCCTGTCACTATGATTAACGCATTTTCATATCATATTCATCTATAACAAAGCACCATATAATGTAGAATACCTATATATGTCCAAAGCAGTTTTATGGCTAATTACCAACCATGAATTCAAATTTCTCTTTCTTTCTAAATAAATGGCATACATTCTTCGGCACGCAGGGTCTGGCCGTATGCCTGTGAAACCAAGTCCCTTTGAGCTGAGGGTCTGCGGCGACTCAGCACTATTCATTTACCGCCGTCTTCATAAAACAGCTCATATCCGATAGCATAATCATGTAAGTAATCTTGAAGACTGGCAGAGTGTGTCTGGATACGGTTGAAGGTCGTCTTTCAATAAGTGTTGTTACTTTTGAACATTACCTTTGGTGGTTTTGTCATATACTACGAATGTTATCCCAGCATCTGTCCTGCGGTTCACGCTTTGCTAGCTTTGAAAGTGGGTATTAAAAGTGGGGTGGGATGATGATTAGCCTATGACATGGCGCTGTTTGGATGATGGATAGTTATATTAGTTTGGAGTCTATTGGTACAGCACAATTACCTCGGTGGGGTCTGACAGATGATTCATATTGTAACGACAGAAGACAAGGGTCAGGCAACAGATCGTTTATTGAGAAAATCAACAGATATTTATAGATTTTTATGTACATTATTATTCGTTATTATTAGCAGAGAAACAGCGTCTTCTGATTGGTCGTTTTCTCGCTGAAGGTTATTCTGTACTGCTTATGACCATTTCTTAGAAAGTTAAGACATATATCTGCGAATCGTATTTGCACACGTTAAGTCTGCTGTGATTGGTTGATGAGTTCCTCAAGGTTAAGCTTTGTTGTTGTTTTTTTTTCATGACCACGATTTGGGACGTTAACATTGGCGTAAATTCTTGTCTACAATTTTGGTTTGCAGATAGCTCTCACCACAATATTAGTGGCTCGAAAAATTAATAAATATGACCGATAATGGTAGCCAGTGGCAAGAATGATGATATTTCACTCTTCCCTCTCTTTCTGAAAGTAGTGCGAAGTGGCGAATCCTCTCTTCATTGGTAGGCTTGCCTGTTTTCGTGATCCGGCTTCTTTATGATTCTGTTTCTTTTTCACATAACATATATCACTGCTTTTGTGTGGTGTATTTCTTGGCAATAGTGAGGAGATATTCAACAGGTTCCAGCGTACCAATAACCCTAGAACGCTCAATCAAAGTAAGGCACTGAAACCAGGTGAACGACACTATAGTGAGGGAAAAAGTGTTGTCTGAAGAGTACTGATATTAAATGGGATATCCGGCTAGTTTTAGCTTAGGCTAACGAAAGACTAAGGTTAGGTTGCGGCTAGGCAAAGGTTAAGGTTGGGGAGGCATTAGGGTCTGTTACGAGTAGATTAAGGTTAGGTCAAGGAAAGATAAGAGTTAGGGGACTAGCTTCGCTTTTCAGCGCCAGAACTCTTTAAAAAGGTCATGAATGCATTCCCACCTTTTAGATGTCTCAATGTTAACTTCGACAGAAGTTTCATAGAACAGTTTATATACATACATACATAAACACACACAACAATCATAGCAATATATTTACCTGGAGGTCCGTACAGTAGTAATCCTTTCCAAGGTGACAATATTCCAGCAAACAGTTGAGGGTACTGTGGAAGAAAAATTCAACACTATTCAGTAGTATTAGTAGTAATAATAGTAATAATTACAGTTATTGTACATAATTATGAAATTTAGTGACATCATAGAATGTAATGAGCCCTTTTGAAGCCAACTCTTATTGTATTTAATAATTCAGTTGCTCCTTTGGAGCCATTTGACATTAGCTGTTGCTCTTGAAATCTTATTTTTTGTACGTGGGAATACCTCCCAGTATGGTGAAACAGTAGACTTTGTATGTGAAGAATTCATAAGTCGAAACATCTATTTTGGCATTTTTATATCTTTTATAAAAGAGCTTCTCTTGAAATGAGCAATGAATGTACACTTTTCATTTAATAAGGAACTTTATAGATAAATCGATGGTGTGGCAATGGGGTCACCACTAGAACCCATTCTAGCCGACATTTTCCTTATGAAACTAGAAAATGAACCTTTGGAAGATGTAATTGATGAACTAGAATTCTACGTTTGGTACATGGATGATACATTTTTGATTATGAGAAATGAGGATGAAGCAAAGAACATCCTGGATAAATTTAACGAGGTTAATCCTGCAATAAATTTTATTATTGAGAAAGAAAAAGACTCTAGTATTCCATTTCTAGACGTCCATATGATTAGAAAAGAAGATGGCACAATAAGAAGCAGTGTATATAGAAAACCTACATCAACTGGCTAGTATACACATTTTTCCAGTTTCGTGCCCTTGAAATACAAACGCAATCTGATAAAGTGCTTTGTCTGCCACAGAGCAAGAGCAGTCTGCTCGGATGAATGTCTTGATGAGGAACTCAATAATATTAAACGGTTGCTGAGTGAAAATGGTTATCCAGAAAAGTTTATTGATAAGAATATGTATTTAAAATCAAAGCAGCTCAAGGTACCAACAGTTCCTAGAATGGCCTTATTCTTACAAATTCAGTTCCTTGGGGACAACATCAGCGAGATGCTAACACAGCGCTTTAGAAATGCGGTAAAGCGAAGAGCATTTCCTGCTACTGAATTACGCTGTCTTCAAAACCACTCCTCTTTTGCGTTCTGGAGTAAAAGATAAACTGCCTAATTTCGCCTCTTCCATGTGTATCTACCAATTTAACTGCTCCTGTGGAGTGACCCAGCTAGTTGCAAAGGCCATACAATTAGGCTTGTTTCTTGTCTGATTTTCGAATATCACCCTGTGTGGTTAAGTAAAGGACAAACAAAATCTATTCGTAGCGCTATTCTACACAACACAAGACTGATGTTAACGAGACAGCTTTCGAAGTCATTTACATCATTTACAAATCTCAACTTCACCTTAAGAGTTCGTTTACTAAATATTGGTGAAACTGGCTGTTGGGATCCACATTAAGAAGCCTAATTTATGCATCCAAAAGATATATATATATCCAAGGCTTCTTGCCGATTGCCTCCAACAACCTAATACCAACAATTCACACTGTCATGCAGCATACCGGCCTCATTGAAAACTTGAATGATAGAGTTCAGTCTGCAGCGAATATAGGACTAGATATACACATTACACTAATTACTGACTACTGTCCAGTCGCAAAAGAAAAATATCCCTAGAGTGTTAAACATTCTTATTTTTACTAGAGTTAACTTTGTTCTTTCCCGTTGATCGGCTGAACCGAAATGTCTCGCGTCTGCTGGTTATATCGGCTTCTTGTATGGATGCTTCAATGATGTTTAACGATTAGCATGATATTATTTCCGTGTAACCAATCGAACAATAGAGAAAACAATTGATACTCGTTGCACAAGAGGTGGCTCCCCTGGCCCCATTGGAGCATTGGATAACGCTTTGTAGCTTGAAAAGAAGGGCCACTGGGCGCGAGTCTCAGTGAGAACAACATCACTCACTGCCGGGGATGGCAGGCACATTTAGCTGACGAGTCCCAAATAGGGCGAAATGCATATCCTAGTAGATTCCACTGCCAAGCACTATACACCAAGTAAAATTTTGAACATTCTTTTATTAAAAAGAAGAAATCAATAATTCTACTTACTTTAATTGGATATACAACAGCTTCTTTTACAAGACGTTTAGCTGAACTTAAACCAATTATATCATCCCATCGAACATTGGGATTTTGAAGAAATATATCCTGAATGAATGAATAAATAGATGAAACGTGAGTTTATATAGAAAGGAGAAACCAGACATTTTCTGTCAGAACATCTGTTCTGCACCAAAATGTCAAATTGGCTGAAGCTGGAGTTAGTCAGGCCATTAGATTCCGGAAGGTGTGACTGAATAGTTAGGCGCTCACTTCGTAACCTAAGGATGTTGGGCTCAATCCTCGGTACGGTCATGGATGGAAAGTTAAATACTAGTGTGTACAGGGAACTCATAGATTGAAACCGATATTTGGATTTCCGATCATCCCACTCTATGACAGTAAAAATAGGATTAGTGTAACTCTTAAGTTTTAGGGCAACAAAACTGAGTAGTACAAGACAGGAACCAAGACAGACAAGAAAATTTCTGAAACATAATAATTACCATGATAAATTGATCAATAAGTATGTAAGAAATCGTGAAAATAAGATTGATAACAATAATGATATATGTGTAAAACCTGGGCACTGTGGTAGTAAGTAATTCCATAATAACTGATTAAAAATGCCTATTAAAATTTTTCAAAAGAATGGATACTGAACAAAGAGTACTCTTCTCGATAACTTTATCATCAGGCTCTACAGTTATATATACATACATTATGGTGAATGAATGAATGAATTAGTGTTATGAACAACATTTATGTTTAAATAACATTGAATCAATAATATTGATAGATTACAGCTCAATAGCATCAACATAAAATAAGCTGAATGTCAGAAAAATTAGGAAAGATAATATTACAAATTCATGAATTTATAGTCTCCACTGAAGGCTGGCCAGAGCAGCAGTAGTGGCTGGCTGGACTTGCTTCTTTTGTACACGAAGCACTGGTTGTTCTCCGCGAATTGCGATAGCCTCTGCTGTTTGGAGCATGCGGTGCTTCGATGATTTTGGCAATTTATTAGGCACCCGGTAGATGATAGAGAAGGATTCTTCCACGCTGGCTTTCTGGTCGGTTCGCACCAGATGGTCCAATATCAAACTGTTAATGGTTTTCACTACACCTTTACTTAGCCATAGTGGGAGATGTTATCGAGCACGAAAAATCAAGTTCCTAGAGCAACGGCCAATGTTACTCGCTCCACCACAAGTGCAGTTGATTTGGTAGATAGAATTTGAAGTGGCCAGTCTAGGTACTTCATCTTTCAGTCGAGGTAGCACCATCGGTCATGCAGAGAATAATACGTGTAGTTCGCCAGCATTAAAAGTTCTTTGAACTGATTTTCTAAATTCCCTCGTAATTATCTCACTTGGTATATCGCCCTTGAATTGTAGTCGTATATGAAGTGGCTTTTTGTTTACAGATAGTGAGTAGTCCTTTTCCGCTTTCTTTGTCATGTGTTTCTTGATAAACTTTTCTGGATAGCTATTTTCGATCAAAGTATCATATACAATGCTTAATTCATCTTCAGTTACTTCTTCTGAGCATATAGCTCTAACTCTGTGGCTGAGAGTCTTCAATAAATTTCTTTTGTAAGTGATAGGAACGAAGCTGTGAAAGTGTGTATATTTTTCTGTGCAGTTACTTTTTCTATGCAAATTTCTTTTTATGCTACTATCCGGTTTTCTTGTAGGTAGGACATCCAGGAAGGCAATTCTGTCTTAGGATTCCTCTTCGCATGTGAATTTCATAGCCGAATGTACTTCATTGAATTCAGTAATTATTGTACTCCTATCAGAACCATTATCACAAAGAATGAAGGTATCACCCATATATCGGTAATAAAATGAGAGCTTACTGATAAGGTTGTTTAAAGGTCCATTTTCTAGCTTACTAAGAAAGAAATCAGCCAGAATAGGACCTAATGGGGAGCCCATCGCCACTCCATCCACTTGCCTGTAAAGCGTGCCGAAACTCAAGTTTCGAAGTCGTGTGATTACAGTTGATATGATTATGAACAATAAATTTTGTTCGAAACGTCATCCAGTAAATAATACTGTTTCACTGTGTGGTACATCTAATAAACAAACTAATATGGGATAATAATGATAACAATAGGGACGATAAACAAAATGAAAATACATAGAAAGATGACAACACCGACAATGGGGAATTTATCACACCTGTATTGATTCCAAACAAGGAAGGAACCTCTACAACCTTACGGAAAATTTTTAACGAAGTAGGAATAAAAGTACCGTTCGAATCCACGAGCTTTTATTAGATACGAATTATGCAGGTTAAAGGTGTCTATGGGGCCCATGAGAAACAAAATAATTTAGTTTATCTACTACACTGTGCAATGATTGCCAGTTCAAAAACACAAGTCAGCCAAGTAGAACAAGGTCAGTCAGACTAGTGAGGCAAAAAACCTAACAAAATCTGGATTAGATGATCTTAATATAAGATAAGAATTCTAGAAAATAGATCGGCTGTAGTACTTAAATCTAATGTAACTCGGTGGAGGGAGAGATTGATCATGGAAGCTTTATTTATTGAATCAACTGAAAATGCATGCGACGGAACGGATTCAACACCTGTCCACTTGGATGTCAAGAAAATTTAACTACCCCTACGTCAAACAGGAAGGAATAAAGATAGGATTACGAACAATCATAATTTTGTGTTCGAAACCTCGTCATCCAGTGAATAATAATACTGTTTCACTCTGTGCGTGATATATCCAATAAACAAGTTAATATGGAATGACATTTAAAATAAACTTACACGTGAGATGGTTAAGGCTAGGCTTCTCCATTCACCCGTATAGCCTAAATAACTTCCCAGGGGTTTCAGTAACCGTTCCTGTAAAATGAATTTAAGTTATTAATAATAATATTATTATTAATATGACTATTATAATTTAAAAACAGTCTTCTCCTAAGGTTACTGACGAGTCTCTCGCTATGAAGTAATAATTGTCAGCGTTATTCCGAACTGAGAACCACTGGAAATCAAAACGTGCTGGACATCAATTTCACCCCAGTACGCAAACCCAGCAGTGTACCAACAATTAAACCAAATGACGTATAGGTTACGAACCAGGCTAATCCGTTGCCTACTCACAGCCTCCATCTTAGCACCCAAAAACTCCTGGAAATTTCAACTTCTAGAAGTTCTCACGACATGGAGCCACTGCTATCCCTGTTCAGAATGCTCACTGTTTCTCTGACTGATGTTAGTTTATGACAATATGAATAGAATCCTTACAATCCAATGTTCGTTTGTTTTACGCTAAAAGTGAATTAGTAAAAAGCACTTCATATACAGTGAGTGGTTTGCATTGTGTCCAGTTTTGTTATCATATTGTTCTGGACACCTTCACACCCCCTTTGTTAGATGGATGAAGGCAACGGGCAGGAAGCCTTGGACCCAAGTTTCGAAATTTTTGGCACTTGTCGGCAAGACGTTCTTGCAATCTTGAGGGAAGTGACGCTCCTCCTAGATTCGAACCAGGGTCACCCAGTGCTGCACAGTCAGAGACGTTATCACTGACCTGCAGCATTGGGTGGCCTGGGCTCAAATCTAGGAGGGACACCATTTCCTTCAGGACTGCAGATACGCCTTGCTGACAAGTACGAAACTTAGGTCCAAAGCTTCCCGCCCATTTTCTCCAGCCACATAACATCAGTTCAGAGTGCAGTGTGATGGTGAACCACCTAGCTTGTTTAACATATTGCAAACTTGACTGATGGAATGCAGCCTGCACCGAACGAAGGACTAGGCACATGACACTAGTGTCCAATCAAAATACACCTTCATAATAAAAGACAATAGCTGAGACCTTTTATTCATACTACCAACTTCACAGCTTATGAAGATGTATGATAGCAGCCTATAAATTCTATATTCTGCCATTTTTGTCGCTTAATAACAAGTAGAATACACTCAGAGACCCACTACAACTTTGCACAGTAGACAATTACTTAACACCTACCTATTGTAGTAGTACTAGTAGTAATACTATCCAGGAAATTACAACGCATCACAGTGAACACCAGTATTCTGATAACGTAATTTTGTCAGCCTACTATATATCTGATCTTGGTCAAAACTTGAGGTTGATTACCAACCACCAACACTGATGCCATTGATTCTAAGTAATATTAACTCTCTTGTTTCTTAACAAGAATGATTACAGAGAACAGTTGCGGTTTCAGTAACCTCTTTTTCAAACTCAACAATTATAAATCCATCAATTTTAGCATACAATAACTAGTTAAGGCTGAAAAGTCTACGAGCTTGCCTCGACTTGTAACGGAAAGGCCCTGGGTTCGAACCCTGGTATTTGCGTGCTGATGAAGAGTCCCAAACTAGGACGAAAGAGCTTTCCAGTATTCCCAATGGTCCTCTAACTGATGTCAGCTGATAATAAATTCCTACAAGCAATCAAACAAAATCCCTACAAAACCAATACTTGAAAATTAATCTGATGCTCATTAGAGACTAGCCGTATTCAGGTAGTTAACTTGGGGTTCTAGTGGGAAACCGTGACCGGTAGGGTACGGTAGGTTGCGAAGTGGTCGCGCTATGTCATGAATTGGCAGAAGTTAGAATTCATAGGTTGGCCAATGGACTGGGTCTCAGTGGCTTAATGGTCTACGAGCTCGCTAGCCTTGTAACCAGAAGGTCCTGGATTTGAACCCCAGTGGGATGGGTGCGTACTGTTGGAGAGCCTCAAACTAGGATGAAACAGCTGTCCAGTACTCCCATCTGGTTATCCAATGTTTCTCTAACTGATGTCAGCTCATGATGGAACCCTCCAACCAATATTACGTAAACATTGGATAGTAGAAATAATAAGGAAGGTCACAAAGATAATTTTCAATGAAATGAAAGTAGAAGGGGAAAGCAGTCTGATAGAGGTTTAAGGTGTTAATTGTTGACATTCGTAGAGGCCTTATTGACCCTTTTGTAGGTCAGGGTCAAACAAAGCTGTTGGACATACTTCTTCTGGATACAAAGACCAGCTCTACTGGTATTGATTACTACGGTCTCACCTCGAGCTCTTCTGGACAGACTGCCGCTTACATATTAGGTCATAGAGGACGCTTATTCCGGTTTAGTTGGATAACCGCTAAGTGAGCTAAGACCGCACTATTTCAACATTTGACTTCCACTTTATCCAACCATACAACTACATATTCACGTGCGTGCATGGGCAAAGCCCTCTGAGTACGACCTATGTAACTAGCACAACTATCATTTACTTAAATTCATAAAAATGAAACAGAAACTCAAGGAAAAAATCTCTTCCAACACTTTTTTTGTACATACTTGTGGATCTTCTGAAAGGTGATTATTCTCTTCCAAAGGTAAACGTGTTTCTTGATTAAGCATTGTTCTATAATCGATGATCTGACGTGGAAAACCTTGTCGATTTGAAGAAGGGAGATGTCCATTTTGATTTGAATCCATGTGTTGGTGATGTGAAACACTTAACGGTATACTACTTTTAATTGAACGACCTGATGTTTGTATAGAAGGATCTTGTTTGCCTTGTACACTTAAACCATTGGATAATCGATTAATTTCAATTGGCTTTATTTGATTAACAAAGAAAATAGCGAAACTGTAAGTCAAATAACCGTTAATTATGAGAGATATAGAACAAACTGTGGTAGTATATTTTGCGCAAGCTAACCAGTAGAGCGTGCGTCGGTGGCACAGCGGTTAGGACGCTCGCCAACCATGCGCATGGTCCGGAGTTCGATCCCCGGCCGACGCACTCCTTTACCTCGCTGGACCAGAAATAAAGCTAGTAAAGAGGAAAGGTTGGGCATGAGACTAGCAATCCCATCCTGTAAAAATAAACACTGCTACAGAAACTTCAAGCTACTAGCTTGAAGCCATATGTTCCACTGGGAACGTGAAGGAATAAAAAAAACCAGTAGAGCAGGAGGAAAGGCAACCAACAGAAATAGACTAATATCAACGTGAATAGATCGAGTACGGGGGTGGGAGAGAGAGAATACATGAATAACCATGGATAAAATCCTTTGAACGTTTGAATATAATCAAGAGTAAGGTGACTTCAATGGAAATGAATATAGCTCACTGACAAAAACACTTGACTACCAGGCGATGGGTCCTGAGTTCGACCCCTGCCTTACCAATTTCAGCATGGGTAACTGGTAACACAGTAAGTGTTGTTCATAGTTAGGTTCACGAAAAAGTTTGTTCCAAGTATCAGCCAATTTTATGATTGTTAATTGGCAGTCTCATGATATCACTTGCGTGATAATACATAAACATAGGTCTCTAACCTTAATAATGTTCAATTAACAGTTCCAACATGAGCAATCATATATCATAATCGATAGTGAGACTATATTAGATTCTTGGTTGAGCAGATTATTTTTGATGAAAGGCTTAGTCGAATAGTGTCAAAATTAATCAACAACCTGCTATTCTTCTCTTTTTTTACTTAACAAAAGGTGACCTAGCTTGGCAGCTAGTGTGAGAATGGTATAAAGAAAGTAATGCATCATTCATTCCCACAATAGCTGAGCATTACTCATGGTAATTGCAGTGGGATGATAACTTACATAGTATATGTGTAAAATTTGGGCCCTGTGGTAGTAATTAATTCCATATTAGTTTGTTTATTAGATGTATCACACAGTCAGTGAAACAGTATTATTTACTGGATGACGTTTCGAAAAAAATTTATTGTTCATAGTCTTATGAATTATAATCGCATGACTTCGAAATTTGAGTTTTATAGTTTTTTTAATTCTCGCCTATTTGTCGTCGTAGGGGTAGAAAATATTTCCAGATATCTGGGACAGGCGTTGAATCATTCTTATTACACGTATTCTCAGCCAGTTGATTCGATAAACAAAGCTTCTGTTATCAATCTTTCCCTCCACCCTCCTGTTACATTATATTTTAAAACTGTCATCTTATCCCATCCAATCCTAGGGTATGGTTGTGTGTAATTGCATGTAGTGAGTGCTATAGCTGAACTATTCTCTAGATTTTTCTCTTATTCGGGTTAACTAATATAGATTTTGCTAGGTTTCTATGTTCAGCTAGTCTGACCGCACCTGTTCTATTACTTTGACCTATGTATTTGACCTAACAGTCATTGCAGGCAAGGTATTAGATAAACTGAGTTGTTATGTTTTAAAGGCTCCACAGGATTGATCCCTTAACTGACAAAGCTTGTTTCTAATTGAGTTTGTGGGTTCGAATGCCACTTTTATTCCTGCATTGTTAAGAATTCTCCATAAGGTTTCCGAGGTTCCTGCTTTGTATGGAAGTACTACTGATGATTTAGATTCCTTATTGTTGGTGTTGTCATTGCATGTTTGACATGCATTTCGTCATTAATAAATTTATTATTGTTATCACTATCACTACTGAATCTAATATCTGACTAGCAACAAGAATGACACTTATCCTGTCAAGTGTAGTTCTGAAGTATAATGAATAACAAGGTAGTGCAACTTTCTAGATAGATAAAGTCTGCAAACTGCAGTTTCTACTCAATACCACTTACAATCTAGGCTGTACCACATAAGCCAAGTAAATATCCGAACTAAAACAAGAAGAGTCCCAGTAGACATATTCTATACTTTACAGTTTTAATGTAGTGGGTAAAAGTTCTATCTCCACGTCAGGACGGATAGCAGTGAGAATGATTCGAGTTAGTTTCAAACCCAATCAGGTAATAACTTAAGTCATTGATGTCCGCAATTTAAGCCACAGATTTGTACAAAACACTTCAAAAGACAAATAACCTGCTGTTACGACATCTACAGGGAAGGTAACTAAAAACATAATGCAGGACACTAGAAAACAGATTCGTTGATCTTTGTACTTTTTCAGTAACTTGAATAAATCTGCCTACTAGACAAAACTATGCATCCATAACGGGATACAGATATATGAATTTCTGGACAATAAACATCTTAAAAAGGACATGGAGTATGCAAAAAACTTACTTCGTGGCCTAATCCATTTTCTGCGCGTGCTCTTGTTACCTAGAATGTAAAATCAAGTTAGGTGTAAAGAATTATGACAAGAGTCTGGAATGAAAGAAACTAACTAGCTATAGAATCAATGCAAGACACAACACAGACGTATAGTAGGTCAACTCATCACACTATGTAAAAGCCCACATAAGAGAATAGAAAATTAATCTTTCAAAAATGGGCATACATCCTTTGGATGAAAAGAATAATTAACTGAAGATTGATGAAGACTTATCAAAATATGGGGACTGATAAGTGATGAATGAATCTGGACCATTGCGAATGATTTTCAGCGGTATAAACAACAGTCTTTAACCAGATGAAGGTGTCGATTGCCTGTTAGAGTCGTTGGAAATGCACGATGTAATTTTCGAAGACTTTCTATGAATCGGTGAAAAATTGTTTCTAATAGCATACCAAACATTCATACATAAAAACACCTTCCAAACTATTATCGATTCCAAGCAATAGTCCTCAATTCATATTCCCTGAAATACTGATAGAAGTAAGAAAACAACCTTCATGTAGTCAATGGATGTTAAGTCATCAGATGTCTTGTTAACAGGTGACAATGCCAATGCAGACTGTTAAACCTGTCTACTCCACTCAGTGGGTGAATTAAGAGAAAATTGCGAAGTCTAGAAGACGGAAAATGTGGGAGTGTTGAATGCCTGGTCTACTATACATGTAGCCTCAAAAATCTGAAATCTTTATTCATGGTTATGATTTCATCGGCTGTCAACTCAAAAGGATTAATGCAACTTCCTAGGCAAATGAAAAGGTTCACATGTCCAAACACTTAGCTACTTGTAATAGTTTAAAATGGTACTCAAGTCTTAGTTTAAATATAGGGGGTTAAAATCGGATCTAAACGTCACAAAATGAACCTTTCCAAAAGTTCATAAACCTTTGACATTCAAGTTACCATAAGAATATGTTATCTACGTGAATTAAATAAAATAAAAATTGAAACAGTCATGCTGAAGTCTGGAAGAACTATTATGATCTCAGGTAAGCTGTACAACTAACAAACAACTGTTGTGCAGCAATCGTTGCAAGAATGATTTGATAGTTTAATATATATTTAGGAATGTAATCTTGTCATATTATGAGTCCATAGCACTTACTTTGTTTGTGGAAATATTCTCATCAGTGTTCGGAGAATTTAATAAGTAATTTTGTCCAGTATCAAGCATTGAGTTTTGTCTGTTGCTGATGTGGGGCAAAGAAGGTCGTCTTTCAAATACAATGGGCTGATTACAATTGGCATTTAACACAAACCTACTTCTTGGTTTTTGCTGAACCGTTCAAATGTCGCAATTTATCTCCTTTCAAAGGTTTATCTAGATTCGGTAGAATAAGGCATTAAAATTTATAAAACCTGAAAGCTTCTTAGTTATTCTTGGGTACTTCTGGAATTTGACGTAGTAGTAACTTTCATATTCCAGCAAAACTGTTTCCAAATCAACATTGTCACATACTTCGTACTTTCGGAAATCCAGGTTGGTTTCTTTTGACAAAGAATTCGCTGATTCAACATACCTTCCGCAATAACACTAATAATAGCAATTACCCTTCTTCGCTCAAATAATGCATAACTAATATTAGCAGGTTTTTCTTTCTTGCAGTGGTACGCTGCTCTTCCTAAAGATTGAAAAACACAGATATAGCATCTTACGGCTTCTCTAGCCTGATTAGCAGTCCTCATCATGTGAAAACTTAGTTCCGCCATTTTATTTGTTCAAGAAAAGCATTTTGAAAGGAATTCAGCAAACGCCACAACAACAGAATTTTATTAGGTGAGTAAAACAAATCTCAAGGTCACTTTCACCAACGTTGCAGTTCCTAATATCCAATATTCTGATTACGGGCTAGTATAAACCACTGATTTCTTTGAGCTCGCTTCTTGATTGTAAGGTAGGGGTTCCAGATCTTCGGTGAACTTATGCGTAGTAAGTCCCGCCACTCGACTGCTTTAGCTCTGGTAGACTCCAAGAGGAGTGGTGTGGGGATTGGTCAAAATGTGGTTTGTAGTATGCAGTATGTTAGGACTGAGTTGCTGCCGTGAATGGAGTTTGACCTAATTCCCGTTGGTCATTCGGTGTAGTTATAAAAGCAGAATAGTAATAATAATAATAGGTTGTAAATTGGATAATATAGGTCTAGATAAGTGAATTAATAAAGGTGACCTAAGGAAAAGATAGAGAAGTCGGTACAGTGAGAGAAGACAGAACGGGTCGTGGGGATTTAGCTTGTATGCCTATCCATTGACAGTGTGGTTTCAAATTTTAAGAGGATAAGCCATTGAGACACAAACCATGCATTTCTGCATGATTGTCCAGCTTCCACTTAAAAGTCTCCACAGATGGCGCTGTAGTGACGGCCGCCGGTAAAGCGTTCCAGGGACGGCAAGCCCGAAGCGAAAAGAAATGTGAGCGCACTGGAGTTTTTGGTCTCTGGTGTGCTATCCTAAGCGGGTTACCTCGTTTTTTTTCCTTCACGTTCCCAGTGGAACATAGGGCTCCAAGCTAGAGGCTTGAAGTTTCTGTAGCAGTTCTTTTAATTTTCATAGGATGAGATTGCTAGCCTCATGCTCAACCTTATCTCGTGGAAGCCTATAATCACTTAATGGCAGGATGCTTTTATTTGGGTGGGCCTGGTCATTTAAGATCTTGTAGACGGTGATGAGGTCTCCCCCTGTGACAACGGTAACTAAGTGTGAAAAGACTTAATTTCTTCAGTCTTTCCTCATATGATTGGTTGCGGAGGCCGATCACCCATATTGTCGCTCGTCTCTGGACACTTTCTAGAATGTCAGCATCCCTTTTGAGTAGCGGAGGAGCAATGATATTATGCACCTCAAGGAGTGGCCTCACGTATGTCGTATACAACCTTAAGAATAGTCCGGGAGTAAGAGCTCCCAGCTGCCTATGCATAAAGTGTAAAGTAGCGTAAGCTTTGGCGACGTCCCTCGTGTAATCTACACTGGTGTCTAACTTTTCTGTTAAAATAAGACCTAGGTCACGTTCTGATGGCACACAACTCAAGTTCTGGCCACCAAGGGTATAATTCGCACTCTGTGACCTGCCAGAATGAAGTTGCACTACTTTGCACTTCTTTAAGTTGAAAGGCATTCCGTTAGCCAGAGCCCAATCTCCCAGAGTTTGCATGTCAGCCTGCAATCTGTCTGAGTCTTCCGATGAGTTTACTGCTCTCCAAATCTTTACGTCGTCAGCGTAAAGAAGCGCAGAGCAGTTCATTTGACAGGGCAGGTCGTTGATAAAAATCACAAACATCAACGGCCCTAAGATAGGACCCTGAGGAACCCCTGATGCCAAGGTGTGCCAGGATGATCGGATGCGGTTGACTTTGGTGCAGAATTCTCTCTCGCCTAAATAATCTTTCAGTCATGCGAGAAGTGCTCCAGAAGCACCCGACTTGATTATTTTGTGAAGGAGCAGACCATGGTGAACTATGTCGAATGCTTTCGCAAAGTCGAGAAAGATCACATGGACTGGTACATTTACGTCCCAGGATAGTGTCCAATCGTTCCAAGCTAGTAGAAGATTCGTCACACAGGATCTTCCCCTCTTGAAACCGTGCTGTGCTTCATGGAGTAGGTTAGTCCCGTCGAAGTATTTTCTCATGTGGTCGTCAATGAGACTCTCCTATATCTTCAATATCACTGGAAGTAGCGCAACTGGTCAGTAACTGGTCGCATTCTGCCGGTCACCACCCTTGAAGATTGGGGATAGGATGGCTTGTTTCCATTCACATGGAAGTTTCCCTACATCAAAGGAGTGTTGAAACAGATCGCTTAGGGGTTGGCAGGGACTTTCTGAACACTGCTTCAGGACGGATGGTCTTATGTCATCGCAACCTGCAGACTTTCCCGAAGTCAACTTTCCCAATTTTACTAGTACCATAGCCGGGGTGATTTGAAATGTACCCAGCAGGTTTTCGCACGTTGGTTTTGCATTGTAATCTTGATGTTTTGTGGGGGTAAAATCCTCGTTACTGTTTAGTTGCCTGTGAAAGGCTGGACTGAATGTCTCTGCCATTTCAAGACTAGTAAGAGATTTTCCATCAGAACCCACTATATTGCAAGCTCCCTGGTTGGTCGGTTTTCCTTCAGACATAAACCTGTATAGGCTTTTTGGGTTCACGAGAAGCTTATTGGCGAGGTTTCTCTGAAATGTCCTTCCATCACTCCGGACTCGTATGTTACATCGATCCCTGAGTTCGAGGTACACTTCATGTTCGGGTTGACTCTTCGATACTCGCCACGCAAACCAGGCTTTTCGCTCCGCCTGTAGGAGGCGTTGTGTCCCTCTTTTTAGCCATGAACGTTGCTTTCTAGGTTTAGGTGTGACTAAAGGAACAGTGTCTGAGACCGCCTGGTGAATGATCTCCTTTACCACTCCCCTGTGTTCTTCTACTGTTAGCTCTGTCCAGTTTTTAGGCCAATTTGCTTCGGACAAAAGTCTTCGCATTTCGGTGTAATTGGCTTTGTTATAACACCGATAGGGCTGTGTATTGTCCCACCGTAAGCGCTCGCGGAGGACTATGTCGAATGTTATGACCGCGTGGTCACTACTACCTATGGAAGTCGTGATCTGAACGTTTTCCACTAGTAGCTGGTCACTAGTGAGCACATAATCCAGTCTAGAATACTTCCCATCTGGGCCCCATCTAGTACCCATCCTGACATTTTCAGTGAATCCTGCCTCCCTGATGGTATGCAGCACATTTTGATCAAATCTGTCCTGGGCACATCCCGTCATCAAGTTAAGAGATGGGGCATTGATATCACCAGCTATGACAATTTGATCATCTCTTGTGTCGCTTAAATTGTATTTAGCAGTACCTGGTTGTGGTCTGCTCTACATGAAGGTGATGATAAATGCTGCCCACTAGATACTTACAGTACCCAACGGTGAAATGGCACCATATGGAGTTAGGGAGCTCAATGAGGGGAAGGTCCATTGCATGGACACATCTGAGCTATTTTTCGACGTATATGGCGACTCCTCCTTCTTTCAGATCCCTATCTCGCCTGACTAGGACCATTTCATTTATACTAACTTCGCTGTCTGCTACCGTAGGGGTTAGCCAGGTTTCCGTCAGTATTATGATTTTGGAATTCAGCTGTGATTGTAGGTGTCTAAGTTCAGCTATTTTGCCTCTTAGCCCTCTCACACTACTGTACAGGCAACTGGTAGTCAGTCTCACCACGTCCCCGTATTGGGGGGTGGTTGACGTGATGTGGGCTGTCGGTTGAGGAGTTAACCTACGAACTAGTTGGCCGATTCCCCGGGAACCGGCCTGTTGGCGGTTTTTCTTCCAGTTCAGTCTGAGCACTTGAATGACACTGGCTGTCATCGTCCAAGCTGCACCGCTATATTGTGACTAAGGGTTGGGGATTTTCTTTGACAACGCTTTGTTCTCTCCTTTGGATACGAGGCCGGCTCTCGCAGCAGCGAATGTGTCTGCTGACCTCGTCCTTGGTCTCGTATCATTTCTGGAGAGCAGTAGTCAACTGGTCTCGGGAGCTGAAATTGACAGCTAACAGACGTGGCGTGTTAATTGCCATAAGGTGAGTGGGTCGAGGCAGTCTATAAATAGAGACAGCCCCTGAACTTCCCAGAGCCGTCTGGAATGCCAACCATCTTCATTGCTGTACATCGTGACAGTGCTTCTCACAAGCGATTCCAGTTACCAGTTCGGGAATGCCATGAACGAACATGGAGGCAGAAGGAATAAGCTCTGGCGACTCCCTCGTCATCTCTCTTTCCTTCCATGGCCTGTCTGGCCTAACGCGTATGTTGCAGGCCCCCCCTATAGAAAGGACTTGAGAAGTCAGTAAAACTTTTTCAACATCCTCGGTAGAGCCTAGTGTTACCCTCAGTGGGGATGGTTTGCTTTGAGGTGCAGCAGTGCCCCTGTACAGTCTGCATAGTTTGACTGGTTGGATGTCCAGACCCAGTGTGCTACACAAGTTGAACCACTGTTCCTGGTCAAACAGGGCCCTTTTTTCTAGCGAACTACTACTACAGTCTGGTAAATTAAAGAGGATTACGCAGTTTGATCTACTAACCGTGGACTTAGTTTCGGTCCTCGTACATTTGTCATCCCCTTTAAGACCGTTTCGTTTCGTCTGGTGTGACTGGATATTTTTGTGTGTCACTGCCGTGGC